GAGTGTTATGTTGGCGCGCGTAACTATTATTGTTATTTTAGTTTTGCGAGGCTGCGTTAACGGTATCAATTATTACCCTTTAAACCACGTAAATTGAAACTCACAGGCACTTTTATATATTACATCATACACGAATAAATATAGCTTTTGTGTACTATGTACGTGTAATTATCTATTTATTTATTTATAACAGTAATAAATCTGCAGTTCACTATTTAAATACGTAGTCGCGGGTGTGTAATGTAAACACCGTTGAGCGCGTATCGCGCGTACTTTCCCGTACATTTGTGAAATTAAATAAATCAAAAATATGTTTATTTTTAATCAAGAAACGAGTCAAGATTATTAAAACAGCAAACCTACGTAACGAGTAAACTGGTGCAATATTATTAAAGCGAGAAAAATACCGAATGGAAGTTTTCATCAACTTTGTTCCACTTTCGTTTTGCGTAGTTTGTCGTTTTATTTAAACCGCGATCTTAAAATCGCGTGTTTTCCAAGTTTTGTCGCGGAACTTCGCTTGACATTTGACTCTCGTGGCTCTCGCATGTATATACACACATATATGTATATAATAGACATAATATATAATTCTCTCGCGGAGAAATTCTACTTCAAAAGTCCTCAGTATCTCATTAGTAACATAAAACTGATAGTCACTTTTTGACGTCCATTGCAGCGCGCACGACAGGTGCCTGATACGCGAAAACGAGAAAAGATCAGTCGCGAGAGATCGTTGCTTATTGTGCGAGTATGATTGAATACTCGCGATGTGTGTCGAGATTGTTGTTGTTAAATAAAAACCGATGTTAGAGAACTTTCACGACGACAATGAGCAAATTTATGTCTCTCGTTTCCGGTTTGTGTCGTTGAAGATCGACGCTGCAGAGATTCGACATGGAAGGTCAAGCGAAACCAACCGAGTTATAAATATATCGCTAGATAACGACGCGCGATGCACATTTGTTGAATATACTTTCCTGAAAAAATAGTGCGGAAGCGTGATTAATTGAGATGCGAACACACATCACATTGGTTATTTCCAAGATGTAATGCGCGCGCGCGACGAGACGATATTTTTTATAGTCACGTTGTTAATTAACTTCGCTCCGCATTTTTCATAAACACACGGTTCTCTGTGTTCTCGCACGTAAAGAAGAAAATCATCCATGTGGGATGAAGCATTTTTAATGCATTAGCAGCTAACGACTGTTCGCGCTTTTATTTAGCGACCCGCCGGAACGATCGTAAATTCTTCGCGTGCATTTGTTATTATCACGGCACAGCACGAAGACGCCGCGACACGAAGAAACGACTTTCAGTATATTATATACATGTATACATACTGAATATATGTGTATATAGGTATCTCCACGGCAAAAAGACGCTAACACGCTAGATTACCATAAAGATATGCGACCGTAGTTGGGACGCATTACCCGAAAGGGGAAGCGTAACAATTAGTCGCGGCTCTTTATAACGCGCTCCGCCGCTGTTTCCGCGACGATCATTTTCATACTCCAACGTTGACTGCACCCGCGCGCGCATTAAATCGTCAACTTTGTCTTGGGAAGCTTGTGTCTCGTACCGTAACTCCTCCGCATCGCGTCATGCCGAAAAAGTGTCGCTTTTAACGCTAGAAAAAAACGCTGGCTTATAAAGAGACGCAATCTCGGTTGCATAAATTCGTAACGCGAAGTATTCCAATCACAGAAATTCAACGCGTTTTTTTTTTCGATCTCTCACAGATTTTCGGGAAAACAAAACTAAAAAACATCATCAACGTTTTTTCGCTTGTTTTAACGCAATAAAAGAACAAAAAATTAAAAAAATAATAATTTCAAGTTGTGCAAATCGTACGAGCTCTTTTTTATTAGTATCAAACAATGAAACTATCGACGAGAGAAATATAATAATATACGCGAAATATTTTTTAACTGTCAATAATAATAATTCAAATAAAATTTCATTTTAAACGTCTATATCAGATAGATGCTTTAATTTGCATTTTAAATATTTCGCGTGCACATGCACTCGGACACGCTCGGTTCTTTTTCGCCCGTGTTATTTTTTCTCTCGTTGAATAATCAGTGTACGAATATTAACATAAGTGGATTTTTTGTTTCCGTCGGAAATAATTTTGTTTTTCATTAGCTTATTCGGCTGTTCGCACTTTGAAATGTGAAACAAAAAAAAGACGAGCCGCGGTGAAGAATCATTGCGGCGCGGCGCGCGCGCGCGCGCGTCAAGAGATTAAATTTTCCTCGGAATAAAACTCGGCATCAAATTCCTTCGCGAGAACTCGGTTACACCACTGCGTACTTTCCCGTGGCTGTTTCACAGTTGTTTCAAGCCTTCAGATTGACTTCGACGATAAATTTGCCAAACATTCTTTATCATAAATATTTATTCAAGATATCCGCGTTCTATGCAGATATACGTAATTATTAATCACAGTATACAAAACGTTACTCAACACAGTTTCGAGAAACAACTACCGCGAGTTCATATATCTAAGAAGCGGAAAAATAATTTCAATATTTTTTCCAGCTCTTCCGCGGGACCGCGACTTTTTCGTAACACGCGTTACCAAACGTTTATTTTCATAATGATTATATGTAGGTGAGCGCGCGTGGGCAATATATACATGCTCTTTACGACTCGCGCACCGAAGTAAATTTTCACCGTTTTTGTAGCGGTGCTTTGTAACATATAAGTTGACTTTATTGTATTAAAGCGGACGGAGTGTACACGCGACATGTCTCTCTCCGGAGATAGAGGAGAAGAGAGAGAACGCGCTCTTTAGCTTTTATATAACCATAATGCACGCCTTCATATCCACACGACGAAACGATGCGTCGCGGCTTGGATGCACTGTGTTGGAACCTGTGCCCACGTTGCACGGGAAAACTGGATCCGCAACATCCGAGAGAGGCGGCGGCACATGGCCTATTCATGCACACGAGGTCTTCCACTGAGAAACGAGCGCGCGGCGCTAGAAAAGTGGGGAAGAAGGTGTCGCACACAATATCTATTCCCGGCTCGCAACCGTATGCCCGCTATCGCAAGACTTGGGCTATACGCTGGAAAATTGCGGGAAAAATGACACGCAAAGGTCATTTCCCGTTCTGCGTCTTATATAAAAAGAGAACTAATAATAGTAATAGTACTTGTTTGTACAAACAAGTTGATACAAACAAGTGAAAAATAAATTTCCGAGAAAATATAACGCCAAACAATATTTTATAAAAACTACGAAAGTGTTTCAAAGTCGAGTATTTTAAAACGTATACGCATATATGTGTGTTTTTATATATATATATATACGTGGAGTAAATCTCCGCGTTGCGAAATTGTTTTTCAAATAAATGAAAAAATAAATCTTTTAGGGTTTTCGTGCGATTGGAAAAAATATTCGGTGAGGAATAAGTAAACCGATACATTTTACACGCAATAAACCAATAATATTTTTGATATTCCATTACGTATATTCCGGAGAAAATTAATCCAATGAAGCGGGAAAGGTGTTATAATAAAATATACCCGAGACGAGCAGGCCGATCGCATCTTTGTCGCCGGCTTTTCGCGAGAGACAGTCGGATGAAGCCTCGGCTTCGCGCGATGCGTCCAACAAAATTTTGCTCTCGCGAGACAGGGAAGCAGAAAGGAAAATCACATTACGGCAGAAAAGTGTGCAAGGCCGCGACGAAAAACCGGGACACAGTGGCGCGTGTGTGCCGCATCGGGATGGAAGAGAGGGAGAGAGGAGAGAACTTCTTTTTCTTCTACTCAACTATTATCTTGCCAGTTTGTACCAGGTGTGTCGGGGTGGAAACACCGACGGGCGCGCCGCAGAAGACGATGGCAGAAGAGTGAGCGGGCAAGAGGGTGTGGCGCGCGCTTGGTACGACGACACCACGAGGGGTGGAACGAACGGAATCGTGCGGCACACTCTGCTGCTTTACATTTTATTGCCCGACGTGGATTCTCGACCGATTTACATAAAGAGACGAACGGTGTAGTTACATCGGCGGACTGAAATCGGAAGGCAGAAAGAGAAAAGGAAGAGATGGACGGGAGAAGTAGATATGTTTCCTGTCGCCCGACGACAGCGACGGTGAACTTGCGATCCGTTTGTATCACGGCGACGAAACATTCGTAGATATTGTAGAAAATAACGGCAATCGTATTCTTTTCTGGCAACGAGAAATGGATGAGAAGTAGAGAGAGAGAGAGAGAGAGACAATCAATGTGACGTTGCTGCACGTGTTGTTCCTCGTTGTCATCGGCGCGGCGCGGCAATTAGCGGTAATTACGCGCGCCCAAAATCCGGCGCGGAAATCACGGGAACTCGGCTCCGCTGATTTCTCGAGTTCGTCGAAGGGATTTCTCTCTTTCTCTCTCCCTCCGGAGCGCCGCAAATCCTCCAAACTGTCGGATCAAGAGGCACTCGCCAGTTAATTAGCTTAACGTCTATGAATTACGAGCAAAATTTTCTCGGAAACTTGTTTCCCTTTCCTTTTCTCTTGTCCCGACGGAGATAGAAATGTGAGAAAGAGATAGAGAGAGAGAGAAAGAGAGAAGGAGAGCATCGACGGCAATGCGAGACTCGCGCGACGTTCTATCGGGTCACTCTCTCTCCGTTTACTTATCTATACCATTCGTTGTAACTTTGCAATCTGTATGGTACACGCGGTTGTCACGGTCCGCTGCATTATACAGTTCGACAAATGTTTAACGTTGTCTCTCGCAGGACGCGCACACTCCGGCAAAATTTTCAGATAAGCGGCGAGAGAGAGAGAGAGAGAGAATATGCGGTGGTTTAATGCGACTCGTGCGATTACACGGCACGCACGATTCTCATCGGACACATCATCCATTAAATATTCATAACGTTATCTCGCGCGCGGCACATTTAAGAAATTTGCTTGACATTGCGCACGTATCGCGCGCATTAATGCACAATATTACAGGTACTCTATTACTTTAATAAGAATAACAACGACTGAACCGTGTTTAGTCGAACAATTGGATATCAATGAGAGAAATCGAATTTCTTCGAAAATCCGAACGAGCAAAAGTGCAGGAAACAAAAAACCTATAAAAATGATACATCGTGTAAAATAATCCCGGAAGAGACAAAACAAAGACGGGCATTGTGTTATCTAGCCGTTCATTTCTTAAGTTCATAAATACACTAGCGGTGAAAGCGCGATTCAAATATTTAAACGGTTCCGTCGGGTGTTCTGTACCAGACACGGACTCGAGCACACGGTTAGTATCGTTGTTAAACTGGAGCGCCGTCATAAATTCAACTTTCTGATGTCCCGTCTCCCACATTAATAATAAACGTAAGAGTGAAACTCGATGATTCTCTCGGAACGATAAGTTCATCTCGAGATAACCAAACGTTACGTTAGTTTATATGATATGTCGGGGAAAGAAGAATAACGCCAAATTTATCTCTAATTGCAATCTCCGGTTGTAAAGTGACGAAATTTCGTTGTCTGAGAGAAACAATTCGAACAATCGGGTAATTCTCTCTAACGGAAAAAAAAAAAAGAGAAAATTCTCGAATAGAAATAGAAATCAACTTATGTAATGGAAACGAGAACGTTTAGTAACTCTGAAAATTACATAATGAGTTTTCTTTGTCAATAAGACCACGGTAAAATTTGTCCCGTGTGGAGAGTGTGTATATATCGCGTTTCCAAATAATTCTGATTACACGACGCGCACACGCATATCCCGAATACGTGTGTGTGTGTATACTATACCAAACGTGAATTGGTCTCAGCCACTACATTTAATCGGATTCAGACACCGCTGACCTAACAAGGACATACCGAGAGTCGCTCACAATCGTTTTACAAACGATTGTGTGCGTGTGTGTGTGGGCGACAGCGATAATCGGGCACTTTCTAAATGCGATTTGCTAAAGATAGCTAAATTATGAGAAAAGCTCGCCCACACACAGGGGGCTTACTTAATCATATCGTCCACCGCACCGGTGGTTTTTTTTCAACGTTACTGCACGGAGATACGGCGGAATCTCAAAAATCCCGTTCGCCCGAAATTTCCAAGGCAAATATTTGGCACTCTCTGATTTTCAAACTAGAACCGAGCGTTCAACAGCTATCCTGAAATTTCAACAGGCTTCTCGGATGTCCAGAGTCAGATTCCGTATCGATCCCTCGCGTCTTTGCTCGGAATATACCGCGAGAGAGGTGAGAAAGGAACCTCCGCGTTCTGCACCGTGACAGAAATATATATATATGTTATAGGAAGAACCCGAAAGAGAGAGAAAGAGATAAAGAAAGAGAGAGAAAAAAAGAGAGAGAGAAAAGAAGACGAAGTTTGCTTATGGGAGTCGTCGGCACTTACCTGTCGAGCGTCCTCAGGTGCAGAATCAGAGGAGGTTGCTCGTCGGAGTCGGTGACGTCGCGACGTATCCGGTTGCGATGTCGTCTCAAGGCCGCGGTGTCATAGGTAGCTGCCTCGTAGTACCCGATATACGAGCCGCGCGTGATATCTGAAAAAAGAAAAAAACAGGAAAAACATTACGGACATTATTCTCTGTATTAAATGGGGGGAAGGGGGGTCTGAGAGAAGAACGTGCGTTGCGCAAACTGCGGCGAGCTGCGAATCACGCGAGGATGAGTCACATCGTAAAAGTGCGTGATTAAGAGCGCACGGATTTTTTTTCTCTTCCACATTTTTCTCAGGCGAACGCGTAACCATTGGTTAGCGAGAAAAACGGCAACGAGCAAAAGAACGGCGAACAAAGCGTTAAAAAACGTTATTTCCTTGTCTCGCACAGCTTCGCGTTGAGGCGCGGTAAAAATGTGACCGTCTAATTCGCGCTCGAGTCGATTCACGGCGTGAAGAAATATCGCGTTTTGTCGAGATTGTTACGGAACTCGATACAGAGAACGAATTAAATTTTCACTCGACCGCTTTTTATCGGTAGCAAAAACTGAAAAATTCAAAAAATATACACAAGCGTGTATATTTTGAACGCGAATATTTTTTCTTCTTCTCATACTTTATATATGCCCGAGATTCAATTAAAACTGATTATTTAATTTGTCTCGTTTCGTCACTCACTCTCTTCGCGTATTTTTACAAACAATAACCGCGGAAATAATATAAATCATCGCATCTATACAGAAATTCGAAGTTTTTGTTTTCGACAGTTATAGCGCCGTGCGCGACGTTTGGCGCTGATAGAGAAATCAAAGTTTCTATATTTGCACGTACGTTTGCTTCAAATTGGACAGGCGTTTTCGCTCGCTTGTCCAATACGCAGTGTAATAACTGAGTTTTTTAAAAAAAAAAAAAAAAAAAAGAGTTACACCTGTTTTCACAGAAATGTGAATCTGACTCTCGATAATAAAAAAGACCGACAAGAGAGAGAGCTCGAGCAGTTGTGATTATTCCGCGAAACAATTGCGCGAGTTAAATTTTATTAAAGTTATTATTTTATTTCGGCGTATGGCGTGGTGTACGCTGCGAAATGTGGCACTCGCTGCGGAAACTCGTTTAGTATTTTAAGAGTGGAAGGGAATTTTCAGAGGAAACGAACCCTCTCCTTCCACATGCCCCCCTTTTCCCCTCATCCGCATTTACCGTGGCCACTCGGTCCGAGAGAGCTCCTCAGGGACGCGTTTTCAGATCTCGGACGAGAGTACGAGTCGGTCCGAAGTGCACTTGTTTCGCGTCCACTTTGCCGAGAGGATGCACACATATTAACTTTTAATCCAGCCGCTGGATTTCAATGTACCAAATTTGATATTTCGACCATTTCATACATAGAGGTTATTGCGTACAACACAAGCGGCATTTCTATTTTATTTATCGTTCAATTCAGTGATGCACCTTTTTTTGCACTTTTTCTTTCACTTTTACGATCTCTTTTCCCGCCGTCTTTCGTTCGCCTCGATTAATTCCTTCAATTTGTTCGCGCAAGCTCGCGCGTAGTTCAAAAAAAAAAAAAAAAAAGAATTAAATGCATCTAAGCAGAACGACTACAAATTACGCAACGTACTTATTTTAACGAGCGCGGACTTTGTAGATGTGATTCTCGGGCAGCAACTTTCGAAGTTAAAACAGTGAATGGAACGACGCGAAGCGGGAGTTTGCGTCACGTGCTCGCGCAATTAGAGCGCCGTTTAGGGTCGTCGCGTACCATTGTTTCCGTAAATACTACCGATCGAGCGATCGGGAGACGGGACACAAAAGGAACACGTGGGACAAAAGCGAGTATTGGACATGAGGCCATCGCCGGCAGACTCTCTCTCTCTCTCTCTCTCTGTTCGCGCCGGGACCCCCTCAGTTCGGGACATCGAACGACGCGGAATTTCGATATGTCGCATATCTCGAGATTCAAGTGAGTATGTACGTGCGAATAAATCGAATTTTATTGGATTCATCTTGAACTTTATGAGATTCGATTCGACGACTTGCGCGATATGAAAGGAAACGTTATAAAATTTTAATATACATCATTTTCAACATTCTGTTTACAGAGACATGAATTAATTTGTTGCTTTCTGACGAAATAAGTCACAGCACGATTGGAGCAATTTCGATGTTTTTCCATTTTTGTTTGTTATATTCAAAAATATTCCCAGATAGAATATACGAATTCCGCGCCCGCTGCTCTAACGAGCCAAACAAAGACAGGTAAACGTGACTCACCTCTATGCGGCGGCACGGGATGAAGGGGAGACGCGTCGACAACGTCGATCGTCAGAATCCAGACGGGCAGCAGGAACAGCAGCACAAAGAAAATCGGACACGTCGTAGCGGGCCATCGACTCTTGCCCTCCACCGTCGTAGCCGCGAGGCGCATCCTGGGCCCGTGGGCCCCGCGATGGTGCCCCTCCGCCGCCCCTTCTTCCTCTTCCTCGTCCTCTTCCTCCTCCTCCTCCCCCTCCTCACCCACGGCCAGGGCCGCAACGCGCATGGGCCCGATATTCCGTGCCCCAGCAACGACTAATGGCGGCGCTATCTGCCTTTCGTCGAGGAGTCGACCATCGCAGCACTTTGCCAGTCACCTACCAAGATCATTTCTCCGTCCTTCTTCGCCGCCGATCGTTTCTCTTTCTTTCTTCTTACTCTCTACTTCACCACGTGCCCTTTCCTCGCTCGACACTCCTGCCGCGCCACCTCCTCTTTCGTCGTAGGTCGCTCAACCTTTCGACCCCTCCGCCGTCCCCGCCGTTCTGTCTACTCTTCGCTTTCAACCTTCGCTTCTTTTTTTCTTTTTTCTCTTCCTTCTCCTGTTTCTCTTCTTCTTCTCTTTTTCAGCCGGTTCCACCTCGCCTCACCTTCGACAGTGGATCGACTCCTCCACGTCGTCCTCTTCTCTCCACCACCTTCTCCGAGCGACGCTCTTCTCCGATCGATTCTGTTGACAAAAATGTGCACCGAAAAATTGCTTGAACGTCAAGAGTCGCAAAGTTGCAATTCGCGGAAAGAGATTAATAAAATTCAAAGAATCGGAGCAGTGTGAGCTAATTTTTTTTTTTTTTTTTTTAACAACACGGTATTTTTTTACTTTGTTGAAAAGTTACTTTGTTGAAAAGTTACTTAATGACCTAACCCTGTTTCTCCGGCATCATTTTGCTAGTAGTCGCGAAAATCTGGTACACATACTACCACCCGTACGGGAGAGAGATATATTATTAATGAACAAACGACGATTAAAACTACCTGGGTAAAAATATAACACGAGGTTTTGTGGCGCGCAAACAGTTTGCATTTTTCATGAAAAAAGTTGTAAAACATGTAAATGAAACGCGCGACTGTGGTGGAGTGATTTTCTCATCGTTAATACTCCATAAACTGCTATTTCTTTTCTCGAAAAAACGAAATTTTAACTTGGGTTACATAATTCGCAGCAGACTCTGTACATTTTTATTTCCCGACATTACAAAGTCTCGCCTTCTTACACACACGACGATGACAAAGAAGTGTTTGACTCAAATAGCAAATAGTATGTTCGGAAAAAAGCAAACTTAACAAAAAATTCGGAAATAAATCCTAAAATATTAGAGTAGAAAAACTTACAATTCGTTAAAAAAAAAATAAAAAAATAAACTAGACTATTATTTTCTATTTTTTGATTTTTTCGCGATCCGCGTTGCGGCAAAAACGATTTTGCTACGTACTCGCGAAACGTAATACTTTCGTAAATGTAAAATTCCAACGTGGGGAGAAAAGATTTGCGCGTTTTTCTAGCATTGAGAAGAAACAAGTTCACGTTCTCATATCTGCGAATTTCTCGCGAAGAAATAAAATGAAATAATGGGCGGGACGTTTCTCCGGGAAAGAATGGACGAATATACATACATTAGCCGCGGTGGTGTTTTAGCATATCCGACCGACAGCGATGCGGTGACGTCGAGTAACACGCTTCGTAAATAAAAGTGCGCAACCCTCACGAGAGACGCGGACTCGTAAGCTCGACATCACCGAGGTGATAATACGTTTCGTCATGATGACGCAACGCGTAATCCGTGAATAAATCATGTTCACGCTTAAGCTCGCGAGCAACAAACACCGATTTCTCGAAGTGTTTTATTTTCTAAGTCTAAAGACTTCGTAAATGCGACAAAACAGTTTACTTCCAAAAAAAAAAAAAAATTGAGCGAATCTGAAATTATTTAAAAATCCAATACACTCGGTAAAAATATATATATATAAATCTAATCTAATTTTTCTCGTAATTATCCTCGTTTCTCGACACTTCTTTCGCCGAATGGCAATTAGGTAGGTAGGTCGCGATATAATTCAGAGAAGTCGAAAGTTCGTTGCCAAAATAAATTGCAGAAGTACTCTGTGCCGCAGCGCCACACATTGCGCAACAGCCGGATATACACTTTCTCAGAATGTTCTCTTGTGTGTGTATATATATATATACAGAGAGAGAAGACGGTCCCCGGGCGAAATAGACACTACATTCCGAAAATGGAATGTCGACGCGATGTACGTACGAGGTGGAAGCTTTATCGCGCCTCGTCCGCGTGTGCCAGGCGGAAGAATGACTTGGCGCGGCGAAAACCATTACTCGGAGCATTTCGCCGAGGTTCCCCGGCACGAGGAGAGCAAAGCGGTAAATTTACACGGCTCCGCATTTGATGATCACTTGGAGTCGCCCGGGGAAGAAAGTAAGTTCGAGGGCGACGAGCGCACGAGGTTTCCGCAAAAATGATTACATCCGCGTTAAAGAGAGAAACGACAGAAAGACGCGATAACACTTTTGCGAAATGAAATGTCGGATTACAAGACGTGTTGCGTGTGTGTGTGTTTATTGTAAAGATCATCACGGCAAATCATAAACGATCTTCTTCGCGCATAGAATACGCGCGAACAAATTATTTTTGCACAAAAAAAGAAAAGATTTCTCTCTCTTTCTTTTCCCTCCCCGCGGGTTTTTCATTATCAAGAACGAATCCCGAACGAACTCGCTTCGGAGTCGAAGAAAACCCGTTTCTCCGATGCATTCACTTCAGATGATTCATTCGTGTGGGCACAGACCGGTTTTTTCTTTTTTCTAGGGAACAAATGAGTATTGATCACAGAAATTCGGAAACTTTTTTTCAGAAAATGAAATTCCAGAGAGAGAAAGAGGGGAGTGAAAAAACTTTGATTACAGAGTGGAATTTTGGCGTCTCGTTAAAATTTTTGCACGCCTTCTCAGTTTTAGCGCATTCGTTTATCGTGCTCGACTCTTTTATTGGAACGAAGCGCTGGAAGAGCTCTTATCACCGGGATTCAACCCGTTCGGGATCGATGGGTGAGAGTATAAAAGAATATTAACGTGCCGTAAGAGCCGTTCGTCGGACTATTTTCCGTCGAGCGCGCCTCGCTGAACCGTTACCTCGCAACGTGCGCGCCAGAGAAACACGTTTTGCGTAATGTCCCGAGAGGGAGAAAGAGAGAGATAGATAGGTAGACAGAGAGAGAGAAAGAGAGCCCGTATATGTAAAATAATTACGAAGAAGCGCCGACGGCGATTTATCGAACCTATTTTTAATAATGATCACAGTCTCCATTGTTTTAAGATTCGATTACTCACCGTGACTTGTTTTCGGAACACTAATTGCATCGCGCAAGAAATCAGATACTTTTTTTTCCGTTCTCTAAAGTCGTACAAATTACGCGCGCGAGAGGAAAAATAAAGTTATATCAAAATTATCAAATTACACACTCCGAGAAACCGCACGAAATTAATGTCAAAAGCTTCGCTCCGTATTAATCAACGCGCGAGGAAGCGTTTAAACCGGTGATGTTACTTTTCATCTTCCCGAGTGTATCGTCCAACATTTAATCAAAATCGCAATTTTAACTCGCAATATAATTCAATTTTTTCAAAACGTGGTTTTTCATTTTTTTTAATGTTTACTAGATTCATGGATATAAATAATCTTATCGTACGTCTGAGACGTATTCATCGGAATATGATAATTAATAACTTAAAGGATAATTTTAATCGCACTTTTTCTCCGCGTATGTACCAAAATATTGTAAAAGACATCAGAAAACGTCTATTGCAAAACCGACGTTTTCTGATGTCTTTTTGGCGGAAAATGCAGTAAAATGCACTTCCATCTTTGAAGAAATAGAAAACGATGGACGTCAAAGTAAGTTCTGCATTTCTTTCTTGCGATCGAACTTGCAAACGAAACCTTCACCAAAAAGCTTTGACGAGTCATTATCAATATCTCTCTGTCACAAGTATGTTCTGATACGTTTGAGCATGTCCTTTCCAAAGACGAATGTTCAGTTTTGTTGTCTTTCGCTCTAACGCAAGTCCCGTTAAAAAAAATTTCGTAAATTATTTTTATGGAAATTATTTCAACGTAAACATGGTCAATCGGCGCTAACGAGATTACGAAGAATCAAGACCGAAGTCTGGACGATTCTCTGTATAAATTATTCGAGAATTTAAAAGTATTTTTTTATATAACATGTATTTCCAAGTCCTGTTATTTCTCACTAAGAACTGTGGTAACCAAAAGAAAAGCGATTTTTATTCAAATATAAAACATTTTGAAAGTCTGCAATTTCTCTTGTAATTAAAATTTTGAATTAAGCGTACGATTATCTGAGGAAATGATTTATCTCGTTTATTTTAGTTTGTGCGAAGAGTGCGAGACTTCATTAATCCGCCACTGAGCACCCCATCGTATTTTAAATTAAAACAGAGAAGTATAATATCATAATAATAATAATAAAACCATAAAAATAAACGGTTAATATAAATTATTTGTCTCTTTCGCAACGCGCAATAATATGTATTTTTGAATAAATATGTGTTTTAAGTACAATTGCAAAAAATAAATCTCGCTTACTTGTCGTTACTTCGTTGTTCCGAATCGTATACGTTACGCGCGCGTCAGTTCGCACACGTCGCGAACACAAGAAACTTCGATTTCAAACGTGTGCCACACATCTCGCGATTCATCTCGATATCGAGATCTCGGGAGTGTAATATGTGACAAACTTCATATATCTCTCACTCTCCGCGAGAAATCTGTCTCCGCCGCACTCACGCCGTGGTATTCCTTTCATTTTGCGCGAAACATACGAACACACGCCGAGGGACACGTAAAAGCATTCGGATGTGACGAAAACATATAGCAAGTAACTCGCGCGCAAGACGCGCGTACACACACACAAGGTAACTCGCCATTATTTGCGTGTTCGCGATAATAAATATTCGCGTCGCATGAAAATGGCAGTTAGCGCTACAGCGAGCATCAATATAATTACGAGAAATCTTATTTTTCGAATTATTCAACATCGTATCACGTGTCGAAATAAATTATACGTTTAAATGTGTATATTTCGTGTAATACAAAGTTACTTTAAACAAGCAATATTTGATACGTACACAGACAGATGAATATCTCGACAAATAGCATTCTTCCCTTTAAAGTGAGGCTCCGAATCGTCAGGAGAACACACCGCGAGAACCGCGTTCGAAGAGGTACACGCGATACTACCGAGCCACCCCGTACCTATACGCGCACGCCTGTGGATACAGAGAGTGCGCGCCTGCCCTGTTGGTATACTCACACATGCGTACACGCGTACGTACGACCGACACTTACCGAGGCGCAGCTCGCCGCTGTGCTCCACGAGTCCTGCCGCTGGCCACGGGCGTTCTCGTCGCCACGATCCTGCCGCCCGAGGATGAAGCAACCCCGTGTTGTCATCGGCGCTCACCGCCGCATAACGACGCCCGCGTACTTGCCCGTGTGCGAAACATCGAGCGTATACATATACGAAGCAATGTACGGTGGTAAAAGCGCAACCAACTCACATAACACACGCGCTCATACACACACACACACACACAGATACACCACACACGTGTCACAAATGTGCGCGAGGAAGCCGGTTGACGTTCTTTTCACGCGCTACGAGGCGTCCGACGATGGCGGAAGACGCGCGGCCGACCACCCGTTTGTCGAGAAACCGAGAAAGACGTCGTCGTCGTCGTGTATAGTACAGCACGCGATAACGCATACGCGCGCGCGTATACGAGTAACCAACCGATCTCCCCAACGAGAAGCGCGTTTCGCGTCGCACTGACGAGACGCTCGCGGAATCGTGCACACCGAAGACTCCCGAGGACAACGACTTCCCCCACCAATCGCGCGCGTTCGACCCAGCTGTGTTTCCCCCTCCCGCGCCCTCGCCTGCCAATCCACGAGGTGCACAACGCTGCGCGCGACCTTTCTCTCCGGGTCCCGTCTATTAACTCTCTTTCTCTCTTCACCTTTCCGTATATATCTCGTTTCTTTCCTCTTGCAGCGTATATACATGTATATATATGTGTGCAATATATATTTGTTGCGAAAACTCTTACGGTTACATGTAAGGCCGATCTTTTAATGTTCCGAATTGTCCTTTTCTTCCCCCGCAGACATGTGTATACCCGTAGTTCAATTGTATCTATCTATATTTGTCGGAAGTTATACGTGCAGAATATAATATAAATGTTTCTCTCTGATCGTTTCTTTCTCTTTTCCTTATTTTCTCGTATTTCTTTTCTCTCCTGGCGAGTTGTTCTCTTCCGCGGGTTTATTTTCAACCCTCGCGCTTTAACTCTTCGTCCATTTCCTATAAAAGCCGCCGGCAAACACATCTGAGATTCGCGCGCGCATCCACGCTTCTTTTTCTTCGAGAAAAATCGAGATCACGGATAGGACGAGAGCAGAGCGTGTGTCTTGTCCTTCCAAATTTTCTCGCGTACTCGCCTTCTACGCTTTGTTCGTGTTCTTTGCACTGATATCTTGTCGCTCGTTTCTTCCTTTGTTCTCTTTCTCTCTCCATCTCATTCTCTTCGCCCCATCTCATAGATCTACATCTACTTTGTCTCCTTTGCGCTATTTATTTTCGTATCTGTCGTTCGGTATATTGGTTTTACGCTCGTGTACACACGTACATATATACGCGCGACGAGAGTACGCAAAGCTTTCTCGCGCGCGCGCGCGCGCGAAGGACGATCTATCAATGAAACAAAAGGAGAAGACGACGCGCGCGAGACGACGAACGAAGGCGACACAAAAGAGAGAGAGGAGAGAGAGAGAGAGAGAGAGGAAAGCGGTTTAAGAGGGTGCGAAATTCTCCCTTTCCCCGCCGTAAGGTCCTCGACGGCGCGCGAAACCATTACCCCGGGAATGTTGCGTCGTGGATTAGTTTGATTATCGACATGCGGCGGCGCCGAGGCCGCGAGCAATTTAATTATGGAAACGGTATGCTGCGCGCAAAGGACGAGCCCGCGATATCCAATTAGTTTCCACGGGCTGCTGCGTACACTCGCTTTTAACGATTGCGTTAAATCCCGAGAGCAACGCTAACGGTTAGTATAACTATCGGACGACGAAGCTCCCCCATATTGAGTACCAGGATTACATGCTGTTTGTTTACTGGAGATAATTTACGGTTTATAGTTTTGATAGCTCCCTTCCGGATTGATTGGCGAGATTTTGAATGTACGTTACGTATGTACGTTACGTAGTTTGTAAATTCGTTATGTGTTTATCTAATGATTGGAATTCGAAGAGTTTGATGTGAATTAATAGCAACGTAAAAACAGTCGGTTTGTTAGTTAAACTTCGTCTGCGCAAACATCTAATTTCGAAAGTTATTAACGATATATTTGACGCTTCGAAAAACTCAACTGACGCACGTGTATTAACCGGTTCTCGCTATGAGTATCTATCTGCTAGAAACTTGAAACTTGCACAAACATTTTGCAATCTTCCGATTATTTTCGCTCGCGAAATAAAGTTATCCCGATTAATTCGCGACAGCACTCCGAAAAGAATTGCTCTATTTCTCGTTTGATTTCTCTCGTATTTTCCTTCACGTCATATTGCGTAATGCGAAACGAGAAAGTCGAGTCATTTCGGGAGATGCAAAAAAATTGATTCGTTTTTGGGGTAGATCCGGTGGTGGTGAGAAAAAAGAGGAAGAGAGAGAGAGAGAGTGTGTGTGTGTGTGTGTGTGTGTGTGTGTGTGTGTGTGTGTGTGTGTGTGTGTGCATGTAATCGTCGGCCTCATAAAAGGTGCGAGATTGATGGCGTGGTCTTTTTAACGAGAATCAAAGGCGATGTGTTAATCAATAGTATGTATGCGGCACGTATACACACATGGCACGTTCGAAATAAATTTTAATCTACCGGTGGGAGTTGGTTGGGAGGACGAACGATTAAATGGGATCATTGTTCCGTTCAGCTATTCTTTTCGGGACACGAGCTGCCTTTCTTCGTCGTTCGATCTGATCGAATTAATTGCAATTAACGAGAAATTTAGTCCGTCAAATAAAGAGTTTTACTTTAAACTTGAAAAAAAAAACTCTGAAAATAAAAAAGATATGACGCTAGAAATGTCGCACCGATAAGTAACATTGTCTGATTGATGTGCAGAAGGCGTAAAGAAACTCTTTGAACTTTGCAATATGTTATTATTTTTCATCGTAAAAACTTATTTCTGATATGTTTTTTAGATACTCCTCTCTAAAAATGTTTTCTAGATAATTTTCTAAAAACATCTTTTTCTAAAATCTTTTCTCAATATTTTAACAAAATTCGATATAAAAATTTTTAATCCATTCTAATCCATTTTTTACCATTTCTTCGAACTTCAGTTGCAATGCGCGGTATATAATTCAAAATAAAATTTAAACCATAGGATAGATCAATCTTGCTTTACACAGGTGAGTTGCACGACCGAGATTTCTAGTAGACCGTTACAACGAGCGATGTCGCTCTTTTCCAGCAAAGGGAAACGTGGATAGAACAGGTGAGGTTACGTTTCGAGATCAAACACCTGCTACAGCAGAAAACAGAATCTGACTTATAGAAAAACAACAGTGATCTCCGTTTCTCCAAACGATCATACATGGTAATCTTAATATTTATCGTATTCACTCCGATAATTCTCGTCTTTTCTACTTCTCTTCAGAATGTGTGTTGAAAAATTTCAAGCTCAATACTGTATGTCTACACTTTCTCCATGTGCGCATTTACACAACTGTAAGCATTGTTGACATATAAACTCACTCTTTATATCTTGATTTACAGGCGCGTTACTTCAGAGAAGAAGACATAGATGGTACGTTCGGATTTGCAATATTTTTGCTTTTTATTATTCATTTCGTGGAGCAAACATTTGCAACATGATTTTTACAGAATTCCGAGAGTGTTTCTACCTGTTTGCTCGAAGTGGCCAGATTCGCACCCTTGACGAGCTCACTATAATCATGAGATCTTTAGGATTGAGTCCGACCATCGCAGAATTAAACAAGTACATGAAGGACAAAGGTAAGAGTGTATGATTCTGAGGATACGTCAAGTTTTTTCTTACAAGAGAGCGAAACACGTTCCAATTCAAGGTGGGAAAATGTCTTTCGCTGATTTCCTGGAAGTAATGCATCTTCAAACTCGTGCGGAGGACTTACCGCAGGAAGTGATTAAGGCCTTTCAAGCCGCGGACACTTCTCACTCCGGTACTATTCCAGCACGACAATTGGCGCACATGTTGCTTTACTGGGGAGAACAACTGAGCAGCAAAGAAGGTAAGAGAGAGAGAGAGAGAGAGAGAAAAAGAGAAAGTGAGTAAATGATAGACGTAATTTATTTCTCATTTGTTTACATCGCTTCATTTTGTCATCTGTCACAGTGGAGCAAATCTTTCGCGAAGCCAACGTGTCTTTGAATGGACACATCAAGTACGAAGACTTTGTGAAAATAGCCTGCGCACCAGTACCTGATTATTACTAAGCATTTTTATGCAACTTTTTTATGCACATCTGAACATATATATTCTATATATTATATATTTTATAGATTTATATTCTGCTTCTTAAAACATGAAAGGTATGAGAGGGAAGAATGGTGTAATAAATTAGGATACACGCTTTCATAAGAGACTTTATATGTAAGTTATATAATAATTTAGATATTGTGTGTATGTGCGTGTGTGTGTGACGTTGATACGTGATTGATAGGTAATGGGTACAAGGAATAAAGGTTGTTCAATTGTTTATTCTCTTAACAATTGTATTTTCGACATCGTGATTTGAACATATCCCTAATATTAACAATATTTCTATTCCACATACAAATAATGAGTTTTTCATCGATAAGGAATATTTATTTTTTACGCGTACATGAGCGTGTACGCACACATACGATTTACATCACTTTATCTTGAAAAAACATTAAACTCTTAGATCTTTGTTCTGACGAGTATAAACTCATGTCTAAATTTATTCTTTAACAAATTCGATGCACATTTATCTCTTTATAGTAAAGTTATTAAATATTTTAACAACTTATTTTTTATTTATATACATATATATTCGATATGTATAACAAAATGGTTATATGTGTATATAACAGAAGCAAACACATGTGTGAATCTTTGAAAATTCTTTTTAGTAGATTTCTTTAGAAGAGAGAAAGATAAACAAATCAATTTACAGAATTGGCAATCTTATAGAAAACGTTGTAAAATAGTTTTTTTTTTTCAATTCAATTTTTATGTGCAATCAATACATAATCATTTTCAAATAGATTTACGTCAGAGTACATAGTTTTTTCTAAATACGTTAGAGTATTAATTAGTACGTAATTCCTTTAATATATAACGTGTTGCATTGAGATTCCCGGATTTATTCACTTTTGGGCAGCTCCGGTATCGGTGGCGGCGATCCGCATAAAATCACTGTCGTGCTGACGACAGTTATGAACAAGAAAATGCACAACAGCACGCGATCACTGACCAGCGCGACCTGTTTCCAATCTAATTCTGTCCTTTCTCGTCGATCTTGCTCGACCAAACGCCACTCGTTCCTCTCGATGGTCGCGTACACACGTCCTAGAACTCGGAACCACTGAGCCTCGAGGCTGCCTTCTCTCCTGAGATCTGTCGATTGTTCAACGCGAGTTATCAGACTGACGTGCTGACAAACGACTTAGACCAAAACGTTTAAAGTTTAAAGGAACGAAAACAGTTTGTACACAATAACAAGATTCGCGGAACGTTCATGAAAATAAATAAAATCTACGGATGTATTAGATTTCGTTTTTCAATTTTACACAAAACGAGGAAAAAAATGTCAACAAATTAATTGTCGAATGAAATAAAGTCTCACCTAGACTGGGACTGGTGCTGTTACTATCATCTCTCCTCGATGAATACTTGGAAGACACATGCTGCTCCGACGATTCGGGCCTGAAGTGCAACGGACAGCTGTTCTTTCTTCTTGGAAATTGTTCCGCCGACTCCTGCTGATATAACAAATCTCTGTGATCGCGCGATTGACAATCGCGTCATAACTTTTCTATAGAACGGGATAATGGCGTGTTTAGAAACTGTTTCGCAACACGGGAAAACTTTCTCCTTCTTCGTGAAATAACACGATAACGTGCGTGCGTTATTTAAAGATCAACGTTTTATTTACGTTTACTTCTATTTTTATATAAAAATGTAATTTTTTTTTCTCATGTATAAAATTATGTTACCGAGGTATATGTATGCGCGCACGTTGAAAGGAAACGCGTCCAAGGCTGTTGTTTTTTTTTTTTTTTTTTTAACGCTGTTATTTCACCGGAAGCGGCGCGACTCTCGGGATCGTTATCTGATCGCTGAGAGAAACGCGCAACGGATTATTGTCTAAATTTTATTTTATATTCAAATACGCGGTTGTGAGAAAAATATCCGGATGACGGATTTACGAAACGTTCCCTGTGTATTACAAAGAAAGAAAGAAACGTAACATTATGCATTTGCATTACGTTATCCGTTTTACCGATCTATTCTCCTCTTGGATATTCAGAAATACTATCCTGGATAATTTGTCTAAGACCAGCGATCGCACGATATTCGGCACTTGTATACCCCGAACTCCGCGATGATGTAAATTCAATGTCACGACCGCCAACGCGGAAGCGAACGACACCAGGCAAATGCTGACGCCGTAATAAAGACCTGAAAAAAACATTAAGAAGAAAAATTATTGACAAATAAATAAACATAGCGTGCAAATTTATTTTTTCTGAATGAAGAAATTTTAACTTGACGATTTTAACAAAATTATATTACTCGTATTAATTTTTTTCCTTTTGTTTCTGTTTCGATAATAAATGTATAATATGTCGATAATCGAAACTATCTTTATCTAGTTTTCTCCGTTTTCTTTGAAACAACAATGCTCTCTTCTCCGGATTCCTTTCCTTTGAAGATTAGCAGAAATAAAACAGTGCGTTAATCGTCTCGAGAAACTCCCGAGTGCATTGTTCCGCGAGTCTTTTAATGAAGAAGTCGCACAGCTGTGCGACAGTACTCGGACAGATGATATTTTGCGATGATATTTTTGCACCCATTTGACACATTTTCAAATTACAAAACAATAACAACAATGTTTATCAATTTAAACAAGAAAGAACAGCGATACGAATAGCGTGTTGTGAGAATTATTACAGAAGAATGTTGTGATTTCCTAGTTTTTATCAAGTCTTTGTGAGATCTTCTTTTGCGAGGCGCTGTTTCTTTCCTTGATTCTTCGAATTACACGACAAACAAAAACACCTGATGAAGCGCACTCACTTATTAGCGGTGTCTTCTCCGTGGGCGGCAAAGTTTCGCGTATTGTCATGAGAAACACCGTCATGGAGAGAAGGGCCGAGATACCGAGAGTGACTTTCTCTCCCGACTCGGAGGGCACGCAGAACACCAACAGGGCTGAAAGATAAACAACAAGAAAATCGTTCACGAAAAGTTTTACTTTTGCCGTTGAATACGTATTGAATCTCCGAATATATATATATATATTTCGCGAGAGAGAAAGAGATTTCGATTCGAAGTCATCTCGAGACAAACTTGAGAGTAGCAATAATCGACATCTGTAGAAATAGAACGTCTGTAGGAAGACTAGAAAAAGAGAAAAAAAAAAGAGAGCGAACGAGAACGCAGTTGTTTGGTGAGTAAAATACGATTTAGTTCTTATATCTCTTCTATATGTTATTGTCACGTGGAGAAATCACGTGTATTCTATATAGAGAATTTTCCGGCTACGTAAAACAATATACGCAACGATTTTTCCGATAATAAAATCGCTGTTATTTTTATCTGTCCCACAATAATCCTCGCTTCCTCATCAGTATTATCGAAAAGCCATCAATTATCGAAAAACCATTTATTGTTCCATTTATTCGAATCGTTATTGCCGTGCTCGATTTTATGCGCGCGCTTGCTCTTTTAATTGTTTTATTTATATTTATTCCCGCGTGTATATATTTGTGTATGTCACTTTATGCGTAGGTAATTGTAATTGAGCAATTTCTACTTTTTATTTTTTTTTTTCTTTGCATCGAAAGATCTCGTTTCTCAGCCAGCAGCCGCCGATTTACGCAGGTGGCTTCGATGTCGGGCAAAATCCTCGGCAAATTTCTTTCATTATCGGATAAGCGGCAACAGCGAAATGTAATGAAACGCTTCGCGCTACAGTTTCCTTAGAGAGACGGTGACTTCTTTTTTTTTTTTTTTTTTGTTTTTAATTTGTTTCCTCTTGCACAAATCCTAACGAGATTAGATACTACTTTTCAAACTGACGTTGCTGCGTTAATATTCGTTTTTTGCAATTACAAAAAATTAGATTCGGCAATTAAATCAAATTAATCAAATCTCGAGTATACGAAAAGACGATCACTCGTTTGTTATTTTTCTTTATCGCGCTTTCTCTCTCGCTACTTAATAAAACACTCCTTCGTTTCTTCGAAAGATACGAACAAACTATTATACACTTTCATTAGATCCGCATCTCTCGCGTTCGTCTGGATGAAGTCTCGAGTTTCTTATGCAAGCAGGTCGTGCGGAAAGATCAGAAGAGCGAGCCTCTATTTAATCTCGTTGTATATGACTTCTTATGCAGGTTGCCTTGCAGACGAGCATTTATTTATGAAATTTTTTTTGCACAAACGCCCACTAACGATATTGAACTCATGTATATTCCCTTATCTTTTGTATATGTTAAATAACAAATGACACGGAGACGATCGAGAATCGCGTTATCGCGTCGTGAACTGCTTCAATTCTCGATGTTCGAAAAAACACTTAATCCTATATTCTGTAAACCCTGACATTTAAGTCCGACACGGCTTTTTACTGATTAAAACGTTGCAAAAAATCTGTAAAAATTCATGGGGTTTTATTCGATATTCTAAATTAAGGAAATAACATTAGTTTTGATAATTTTTTAGAAACTTCACCACTTTTAAGTAGTTCTTAAGATATCTCATTTTCAAAAATCGCTCGGAAACACATATTCAAGAGTTTACAGAAGTTTAAATCCGAGTTTCACAAAAAGTATTTTTCGAACCAATAAAATCCACTCTCTAGTTTTGCTAATTAGAATATTATTAAATTTTAGTTAAAATTATTTGTCTAATATTAAGATAAGAATTATTTTAAATTTATATACATTTACGTGCGCTCTTCTCTCTTACCCATGCCATTGATCAGTATACAAGGTAGAATCAGGTTGAAGACGTAGAACATCGGACGTCGCCGCAGGCGAATCTCGTAGGTGATGTCGGGGTACGGTTCTTCGCAGCAGGAGTAGTACTCAACGTTTCTGCGGGCGGTGAAATTCAGAAGCTGGAACTCGCCGTTCTCCTGATAATTGCTCACGTCCCCTTGCTCGCTCTGCCTCTGCAGTTCGAGCTGATGCCGGTAAGAGATTTCCGCGGTGTGAGTTTACAACGTTTTCTCGTTCGCGACAGCCGACGACAGCGCAAAGTCGCCATTGTTTCGCAATGGGCGAACAAAAAAAAAAGTCACAAGCAAGACCGATTAGGTACAGACGTATACAAATAAATAAAAAAACAAAAGAACGGGATTGGAAATTCGATCGATGGAAGCACAAAAAATGATTATGAAACTTGGAAGTAATTCCTAATAAGTATATTATAAATTGCACGATGACAACGTGTCTTCGACTTTCGCGCGACCAGGAAAAGCGACGGCGGGTGTGCGCAATGTATATTCAACGGGAAAAAAAGAAACTGGAAAAACTCGGCGAAACGAAATATTTATTCGATAAAATCTCTATCGCGCAGAGAGCTAACAGATCCTATTTTTTTTAACTTATGTCCAAAGTTTCTTTCTTCTCGAATGTTTGATTAATGAGAAATCTTTTGCGAGAGTTTCCGCTTAGGAAGTAAATGATCGGCGCTGTGAAAATCTGGTCACTCTGAGAACACAAGAGATGATTAATGCCAAGAACTTGGAAAAATTTTCCTCCGAGTGTTTTAAACCGCGCGATGACGCCCTCGACCTTTGAGCGACCGCGGGAAAAGCGGCGGCAGCAGCTACGCAAAGTGTATTCAACGTGGAGAAAATGGGAAAACTCTGTTGAAAGATAGGCAGAAAGAACTCGAAGCGCGGAGGCGAACGAAACGTTCAATACGAGAGGCTCTCGTATTGAATTCTTCTCGCGATGCCTGCGGATTAAGCTCTTCGATCTGCCCGAACCATTTTCATGACTTGGCAGGCCCGGATGTTTTCGATTCCACTAGCTGTATGGAAACGTCCCCCAAACTTTTTCGAAGGCCGATCGGCTTTGCTTTGCCAACAACTTTTTTTTTGTTTTTGTTTTCTTGCGTGCACAAAATTCATTTCGTCGTACACAAAAAGCGCAGACATGTACCGCGTCGAAATTACGTGCGAAGATCAATGAGACAAAGACGCACTTTCTATACTGCAAATTCTATATCTGCGTATACTGCAAATTTCATATTTGCATTATCGAGTGATTTGTTCCGACAGATTCAATTGTTGTTGCGAGGAAGAAGAGAATTTTGATTAAAGAAAAAATTGGATATTCAATTATGCAAACGCAAAAAACTCTTCGACTATTTGCATTGGCGCGAATTCGGAAACCGGTGCTGCGTGCAAATGTAAAAAAGTGCAGAAAACGTGAAACTTACTCGGTAACCGTCGTATGTCCAAGAGGCCCATTTGAGAGCGCAGCGCTGCTCGTCAAACGGGAAGAACTCCACGTTTATGTTGCAACTGCTGCGAAAGATACCGTGGCTCAGCCAGACCACCTCGCCCGTGTATCTCACGATCACGTTTGTATTGATGACCGACGAACTGTATTGCGGATCCGCGCTAAAATCAGAACGTTGGGAAAAAAAAACACAACAACGAAACATCAAAACCCTTTTATTTCAATCACACAACTGTGTGTGCGATCTTTGAGGAAAAAACGTCATATAAATTTACAAACCTTTACAGAACATTATTTTGCATAATTTATTGATTTATTAGAATAAACGGAAATTATTTCTTTTTTAGTACGCCAAAAAAATACAGATATTTTCAGTGTTTCGAAACGCGAACACATTATCGACTTATTAAGAAATAAAATATCACATTATTGTTCAAATTCTCAACTTTTTTACATACTTTTTTTTACAAATTATAGAAGAAAAAATTTATCGATCTTGACTTTTAGTTTTTTCTGTTGTCAATACTTTTGCAAAGCATCCCGCGGCGTAAAAGAAAAAAAATCTCGAAACGATATCGCGGAATCAAGGTGTAAAGCTCTCGAGAGAAAATACGTATGGTCTGTGTTCGTGCGCAATATATGCGCTGTCACATTGGAATATAGATTTCGAAACTCGCGACACTTATTTTCCTGTTTATTTACATGTCGGACAACTATCTCACCTGTTATATAAAATCGTATCGGGCCGCCAGACGCGATTGTAAGGAATTCGGATCACTTCGATTCCGGCGAATTCCGTGGAGTTCCATTTCAAGTGATGGTCGATCCAAATCTGCGTGACCCAACAGTTGGTCGTGAGTATTTGGTTTTTTTCGTCCTGTACAATAAAATTTTAACGCAATCACAAGATTAAAAAACGAAAAAAGAGAAGTATAAAACACGCGACGTGTTGACACAGCGTAGGATAATTGATAATTAACGTCAGAAACCCCGATAGAAAGCGATTTTGCGGCACTTAATTAGCTTCCCGCGATCGTGCGAACTCGGAAACTGACGAATTCCGCGACGCGTTATCTCAATGAGCATCGACGCGTAAATTATTACATAGCCGCGTTCGATGCGCGAGGACTCTAATTGCATCTCGTTATTTTATATACGTGCGAAACATAAATATTCAAAGTTCCGCGCCGTTCCTTCTTTCCGGAGAATCTTCCGCTCGTCGGTCTGCTTCAACTGTTGCGAACTTGCGAATGGTGAGCCTCCCTAAATTGGATGAACTTTAATATTCCGCAGTAATTTCGAAAATTCATATGACATTTCAAATTTTTTTTACACTGTAAAACAACGGTAGTGGTTGCTATGCAGCTAGTTTTACGATGATAAAGATGGATGTTTATGGACCGTCTCCGCAAGAGACTGTATCATTCTTGCTAATGCTCGATATCCATCTTCGTGTGTACGAAACCTACAGCAGATATCTACTGCAAAAAGTCTACGGAATGCTACGATCTAATACCAAAGAGAGAGATACTATCATTCTACGTATAATATTCCAAATATGCTATATTGTGTACGAGAGAAGATATGCTAAGAATTTAATCGATGTGTTTTGATCGTTTGTATTTAAAAAAAAAACAAAAAAACACATATATATATATATATATACACATATGTATATATGCAAGGAGAAAACAAACGCGCTGTTAAAAGTCACACAGCAAAACTTTCATGTCGATAAAAACCGAACAATCACGTATAATATTTTTTTCTTTTTATATTTATTTTTATTTTTCCTCCATATGGATATTCCCTTTTTCTACATTGAGAGAAAATCTTTTTCCGTTACATCACACACACACAGACACACACACACACACACATCGTCGTTATTTGCAAGAAATATTTTTTGTCGCAATTCTTTGTTTTATTATATCAATTCAGCAGTTTCCGAAATTCCGCGAATATGTGAAAAATGTTTCTTGAAGAAATCCGCGACCCAACTTAGTTTTCCCGTTTCTTCGTGCGTGTGAGATTTTCCGCGAATTACGGAAGATCCGTCTTTTTTAGTATTTTTTTATTGTTAAATTTTGGTAAAGGAGATGAACGAAGGCATTTGTGAATGTGTGTCAGACGCTGATATTTCTATTTTACCGTTATCGTCAATATTTCATTGCGGAAAATGTAACGTGTAGATATATATACACACACGACACGTATTCCGTTCGGCGATGTCGCGTTCAATTTGTCTAGCCGTTTCAATAGAAATCTAACATCGGATCACGTTTTAAAATATACGAAAATACGAATCACGTGGTACACGCTTATATACAAAATTCACGTTTATGTTCGTTATAGATTATCTATAAATAGAGATGATCGTTTGTTTACGCGTCAGTAATTTGATTGAGAAAATTTGAACAAAGAGAGTTCGAAGTGAGAGAAAAAATCCCTCGCTTTTTTTTATTTTTGAATTTGCACGCACGTGAAATCAGCAGATAACTTAGTGCGCAAAGAGTGGATATAATAAAATTTATTTTAAATCGCAACAAGAACATCGTATATATCTATATACCGTCTCCCTGAAAGGGCACTAAACGTAGTCGTCTCGTGAACGGGCCAATCGAATTTTCTTGCTTCAAGTATCGATTTTTTAAGATTGCTCGCGCTTGAATACTCACAACGTCGATAATATGATGAAGAGCGAGTCCGAAGATCACGACCAAAGGCTGGGACGAATTTTTAGCTGGTCTCGCGCCGGCGTCATACCCGTCCAGCAGGTGCTTCATCAATCTGTATTCGTCGCTGTGCTTGTCGCACACACCTGAGCATACGGAACAATTATATCGCGGTGTTTAAAAATTGTCTTTAAACATTATCGAGTTTATGGACTAATAGATTTGGCAAATAAAGAAAGCTTGTATGGCGTAACAAAAAATTATCGCTGTCGGGTTCTCGTACATACAACTGGCGTCAAAAAAAGCGTTGAGAGTCGTTCAAAGTATATGTAACGGGTATAAAATTAAACGCGAGAAGAGACGCGCAACACAGTCTCAGGAAGCGATCTCCGCAATGAACCGACTTCAGAGATTTCTTTCACCGCGCGGACCTTTCTCTCTGATCACGGACTCTGATCCATTTCGTAACGTGGATGCGCGCTCGTCTATTATAGCGATCATCTATGTGATCAGAGCAACGCTGGTCCCATCCCCATTGAACGACCATTGTGCTGTGAAGCGTGGTGAAACCTGTCAGAGGACCAGCTAATTTCAGTTCGGTCTCTCATCTCTTCTTGTACGGGACGTACGAGAGGAAGAGTGAAACGGGAGAAATGCCGTGAGGAAAATAAGTGATATTTGTCGCCGGTAATTAAGAGAATGAGTCTTCGCGATCTTTATCCAACTCTCGCTCGTCGATGTCAATCGACAGATGAAATGAGCGTCGTCGAAGCGAATTTTCCACAAATTGCATGAGCGTTGCGGTATTCTTTAACGCATTCTTTTAATTTTCTTGATCTTTTTACGACGACGCTTCTTTATCAGTAAAAATGTTAAAGCATTCACATTCTCGAGTAATTAACTGAGGATGCAAGAGATATTCCCAAGTGTAAAACAAAATATTATTTGTTTTAAATATTGTTCGTATATAATATTTTTATAACGTAATAGGTTGTGTCCAAAATTCTGGAAGCGATCAAGCGGAATATTTTCAATCGAGAAGCGTTGAAGTTTATTTATAACCGTATAAAATAATCTTCTAAGTGTATCACCAATACACACACTTGGCGGTAAAATGTTGAAAAGACTGATGAGGCAAAAAGCTCGTATTACAAAAAAATAAGCATAAAATTAGAACATTAATAGGATGTTAAATTAAACTAACAAATTAGATTAATAAATTTCATCGAGATTTCTCTCAAACTCGATTATTAATTGATTTTAATTTGGAATTTGTTCTAAAAATCTGGTTAGTTACAGAAGTTCTTTCGCTAATATAAAAGTATTTCTTGTTCTCAAATCTGTGATTTTTCTTCCGCGAATCCTTCGGTATTCTCGAGCGAGCATATGGTCTGGGAAGATATTCTCACCGATCGAAAAATGAACCGCGGCGTCTGCCTGTCACCGCAGCGTGAGACGTAAATCGAAAAATCTTGCGGATTTGTAATGAGATCGCACGTTGAATGTCGATACTCTGTATGAACCGCGAAATATCTCGCGGGATTTAACTGACTGACGTTGAATTTCTTCGTACAAAACGGTTCTGTCTGTGCGAAGACATCTCTCCATCTAGAGATTACTTCTTCCCCTCCTCTTTTCTCTATGATATGAAGATACATTTCTAGGGAGATATCTTCGGCAAAAGTTAAATCTCGCACAATACATATATATCGTCAAAATATAAGTTTAATTGACAAAAATAAAATACGTGAGAGGAAGAGAGTTAAGAGATCGTCAGAAAAGTTACTAAGTCGAAAAATCAGAGAAGAAAGTATATTTTTTTACAAAAACTTCACAACTCTAGATATAAAAAATACAATATATAGATTATTAGAAATTACTGAGAAACTAATTGACATTTGTGATAATAAATACACCAAATATTTATATTTTTTATTATCTTCTCGTGAAACAGTTGAACTGTTCGCGCACAATTGTGTAAATTATTTACATAAATATTTTAACAAATGAAAGAGAGAGAAAAGAATAGCGTTTGTAGAAAAATTATATAATTGTCAAATACAAAATTCCGCTAAAATGCTGCAGAAATATGAACCGATTTACTAATTTTAAGCTTGAATTCCACGACGGTGAATATGCAAATGCCACGGTGTTCCGATCACCGAATTTGATAGCAAAGAGGAGGCATCTGATGGTCCCTTGAATGGCGACTGATTCGCAAACGTTTACATTGCTACCTATATACGTCGCAAACATACCGTAACGAGGTTCAGCTTAAGACACGTGTCGAGCGAAATCTTCGGCGCGAAAATTCTCTTTCAGTGATTCAATTGTTGATCTTGTTTGAATTAAAAATATTTCTTTGTCGTGTATAAATTTCGTGAATATTGCAAAATCATCGAATTGTCCGCAAAACGAGAAATCTTTGATTCTCTCGAGGTCACGAGAGATCGCAAAACTAACAAAATGACCGCGACGGTCGAGGACACTTCTAAAAATGGCTCACAATTTAACGTCATTGCGGCCTTGACAATTTGATCGCGTCACACTAATTTACATCTCAGACGTCTTTGATATCAGCGGTGTGTAGCCGCGACGAACAAAAGTTATAACGGAGCTTTGATACCCGACAATATCTAAACAAACGTTCTTGACGTGTTGCACTTTTGGTACCGCCGAGAACCTTGAAAAATCCTTTATCGAGACGATCCACATTTTTCTAAGCCCCCGAAAAATTACACCGAAGGGAAAGAACGAACAAATCAAATTTTTACAAAAAAATTTCACAAAAAAAACAACTTCGTTTACCAAACTAGTTATCTTCCTTCGCGTTCGCCACGTTTTAATGAAATTTTTCACGTCGATAGCAAGTTCAAGGTTGAACGAAAAAACTTTGTTACTGTCAAGTTTTTTTAAAATCTGGATATTAAAAAGTATGTTTATATATTTTTAACCAGTACGTCTGTGTGTGTCCCCTAAAGTGCCGGTTTTGAATCAGCATTAACATATTAAATGTTTCAATAATTACGCAAGTTAAATGAGAAACATTTAATTAAATTTGTAAAAATCTGCTGTAAAAAAACTACCTCAAAATCAAGATCCCGAGATTCCAAGATCAAGATTATAAATTTGTGTAATTTGCGAGAATTTCTATAATTACTTTTAATTCAGAAATATATCAACAGCACTATGTTACAATAATAATAATAATAATAATCAAAGAAAAACCTACGTTTCATCTAAAACAAAAAATAAAAAATACAACATTTCTCACGCACTCACCATTTTTGAAGGCGATAATCAGAAACAACGCATATTGAAGAAACACGACGACAGACGGCGACATCGAATTTGAAGGTCTGCTTAACAGCGTGACCGCCTAGATACGACTGATGTATAACGGCGGTTTTCAACCACCGTGCAATTTCACCCCTGAAGCCTGCGCCACTCCTACCGCGGATTTCCAAAGGAAATTCGCGCAGGCGTTTATCGAAACAATGGAGAGACATACAAGCGTCGGGTGTAGGAAGACGCGGACATGTGTACATACATTCTTGAATTTTTTGTTAGAATAAACTTGATTTATTCCGTTTGAAATCGTTTTGCATTCGTGATGAAATTTCTGACAAAAGATTTTTTAACTTCGACTTTTCTTTGTTTTTTTTTTTTGTAGAAGAGAAATATATTTATTGTATATTTTTCTGTTTTTTTTCATACACGCGTTCCCGTATAAAAACTTACATCACAATTAATTAATTCACACACTTTACAGAGATATGAAAATATTTAATGTGTCGCATTGTTATTACAATAAATTACAAAAACAATAAATAGCACACATGAGTTTTGAAACTGGAGATTACATGTATATATATATATATAACATATGTATATAAATTTTTTTACAACCAATCGTAGAAAACAAGAAATCTTTTTACAAATTTATATATTTGCGAGTAATAAAATTTGTTAATAAATAGATTACAAGCGATACTCAAATTAATAGATCTTACTCTACATCGTTTCTCTCCCGCTAATATGTATATAAAAAAAAGGTAATATTTATCGAGCGATAAATTTGAATTAAAAAAAAATTAGGTTTACAAAATTCCCTATACTTTTGCTATATTACATTCTGGCACTTGAGACTAGTGATGTGAGGTGGATGGAATATTTTAAGAATATTTTCTATCCTTTTTTGAGAGACGGAAAATAGTCTCAGAATATTCTATCATCTCAGAGAGTGTATATTTCTAGAATAATAATCCCTCACATCACTAATTAAGACCATCAATGGCGGTAGGCCGAGTTGGAATCAGCTGGAAAACCCGGGGTTAGTATGTTCTATGACGCAACGTCGGCAATAGCGTTTGACAGCGCGGTAACCGACCCACGTGACTCTCGAACACTCGCCTATGTTGAGCTGGCGCAAGCCGCGCACGTAGTAGGCCAGCGCTTCGAGGCCGGCGTCGGTGACTCTCTCGCATCCGCACAGGGATAGCTTTTTTAGGTTGGGACAGCCGGTGGAGAGAGCCTCGAGAGTCGCGTCGCCGATGTCGCACTTGCCGATGTCGAGGGCGCGCATACGCGGACAACCGCGCGCCAAGGCGATGGTCGCGCTGTCGCTGAGCGCTTCGCAACCGCGGGCGTTCAGATAGCGCAGTTTGTAGCAGTGACGAGCGACGACCAGCAAGCCGGCGTCGGACACGCGGTCGCATTTGCCCACGGAGAAGTAGCGGAGTGACGGGCCGAGGCGCGCCGCCAGCTCGCGCACTCCGAAATCCGTTACCTTCACGCAGTCCGATACCGACAGCTGACGCAGACTCGCGCAATACGAAGCGATCGCGACCAGACTGGCGTCGGTGATGCGAGCGCATCTACGCAGATAGAGACATCCCAGATGCGGCATACGCGACACGCTGAGCACCAAACCGGAATCCTCGATTCCGTGGCAGTCGCTGAGATCGAGCGACTGCAGTTGCAGGGTGGTGGTGCGACCGCAGGCACGAGTGACGTTGGGACAACCCGTTAGATCGAGTTCCCTGAGATGGGCGCAGCTGTCCAACACGGCGGTGACATTGGCGTCGGTAACGCGACGCGAGTGTCGCAGCACCAATGAAGTTAAATTGAGGTACTGCAACTGAGCGAAAATACCAGGCAGTCCGGTGGCACCTTCCAGAACCAGACGACGAATACACGTGTGGCATCCGCGACGTGTGAGCGCGTTAAGAGCCGCGGTGGCATTTTGCGGATATCGCACTTCAACTTCTCGCCAGAGCGCCGGGTGCCACGCGATCTCCCAGAGACGCCGGCATGTCTGCGCTAGGGAGCAACGGTCACGAGTATCGAGCCAGCTGAAGATTCTCAGCAGCAGATTGTCATCGAGTTGACACAGGTCGTTGACCGCGGTATGGTGAATCAAATGGTGCTGCGGCGGCGGTTGTTGCTGTTGCTGCTGCTGGCGAATCGGCGTGCACAGCACGCTCGGCGTAGACAGGGACGATGACGACGCAGTGCGGCAGGCATTGTTATCGAGAGTGTGATAGCCCAAATCGATGGCGTCCGCACCTGGCCGATATACGCTGATCTTCTGCGACGAGTAGCCTCCTCCTTGCTCAGAGCCGGTCTTCTGCTCCCCGAAACTGGGAAAGAAAAGCGGGCATGATCCGTCCATTCCATGCTCCGTTCTGCAATATTTTTTTTCCACTTATTACACTTTTTAACATTAATATATACATATTTAATATTAATATATGTACAACAAAAATCGTATTTCGATAAAACTTTTTACATAAATATTTAATTATGTGAAAAAAAATACAAATAAATGAAGATTTTCAATTTTATGTAAAACACAGATGAGATTTCGATAATTCCAGTCTATATTATATTATTATAGTATTTAGAAACGTGAATATTAATAAATATAAACGACTTCGAATTTACGATGATCCAAAATATTTTACATTTCAAGTAAACTTCGGTATTCACACATACCGTACGCAGAAAAAATGCAATATTTTTTTCTGCAAATCTCGGCTGCATAGCAAGTCTAAACTTTCGCGTAGCCTTATCTGAATTACAATGCAAAGTCTTATGTTCTCTTTGTTGTGTTCGTTTAATTTTTAATTATGCAAGATGTACTTACAACAGGATGCCAGAGGACAGGACGAGTCAGCGACCGTGCGTGACATCACCGAGCAATATCGATCTATCCGCCACCTTCTCCATGTTGATCTCGCATTCCAATTCCCGAAGCAGCTGCAGGGCCCAAGTACGTTTTGTAAGACTAGTTTGGGCCTTAAAAATGGAGTCTATCCGATCCGTCGCGCGGATATCTTAAACGATCTCAAAACGATCACGTCGAATTGTTCACAAAGCTGTCGAGGAATGCGCGTTTTTCGAATGCGAAATGGATAATTTGACACATGACAGGCCCTCGACACACTTACGTGGTCCCATACCATGGTCAACCATGGTATAGTGCATGATAGCGCGTGATATAGTTGCTGCGTTCGGTTTCGCAACGCCTCTAGATTTGCAAGACCGAACGCGGTCGGTATTATGGTGTGTAATTTTAGAGCCCGTTTCACCGTCGACGATTAACTTTCTAAACCTATTGTTCCATTAGAATCGACCAATCGTATCGATCGATTAGCAGAATTGACCAATCACGGTTGTTTGCGAAGTATATATTTTTTTACATGTCCCGGTCTAAAGGCTTGTGTCCACGAGATGTTGGAAATCGGTATCGGAGTTTTGACCGCACACACATATAAGGATGCATGCCGACGGAGAAACAGACGGCGAACTCTTTGGCGAGGGTAACGAAAAAGAGAATATAATGAGGAAGTAGTCGATTAGAATAATTCTGTTTTAATTCCGTTTTATTTTTTGGCGACTGAACTTTGCATGTGACACACAGAAAGAAAACAAAGAAACACTTCTAAACTGCAAAAGTCCATTGAACATTAAAAGTTTGTGAAATTTGTCTTTTTCACAAACAAATATTTGTTGTTTATTATTTATTTGTATATAACTTTCTCGTCGTAAAAAAGTACTTTCACCTCGTAATGGAGATTAACAGCGCCTTCGTCGTCTAGTGGCAAAAAAGTGAAACATAAACATAGATATAGTTATATAATATAAGGCAAAAACATTGCAAGGCGGCAAGTTTGTCAATGTCAAGTACTTGTTTCGTAAAAAAGTAATAAGTCTTATTACACGTCACAGATATTACGTGATGAGATATATATTTAATTTTTCAACAAAAAAAGATATGCACGCGCGTCTTTCGATCCGTTTTATCGACAGCGACAAGTTGATGATTCACGCGACGATCATCGGGAGCGCTAACACGTGACGCGAAATTCAACCTATCAGAGTCGTCACTCTGCGCACGCACAGAGCTCGCTCTCGCGGATATATATATATCACACCTAATGCGTTCGAGAACGAATTATGGCATTGTCTTTTATCAGGTCTGAGATACTGCATCAGACAAATTCGCACTTGCGCTTCTTCGCCAGCCTGTCGACCATGAAGGTAATCTCGCGATCGGTTTTTCTTGCTTTACACATTCTCTTCGTTTAACGCGACACGGTCGCACGTCAAAGTGACGAGACTCTCGCGATTTTTCGCCGAGTTACGCGAAAATCCGCGAAACGCACTCGTTGCATTCGTTGCGACCGTATCGCCGTATGCATGTTCAAAGTCATTTCGACCTCGAATGCATATTTATTTGTTGAAGTATCTCATTCTCCTTTCTCTCGCGCGCAATAACGTCACGATGTTAAATCAATAATTGTCGTCAATATGGTATTACATTTTTTAAATTTATTTTTTTTATCAAAAGATTCGAGATGAGAATTGACGACCGAGAATTGAGTCGATATAGTGTTGTGTGTGTTCATTTTATCCACAATATATTTTATATCAATTTTTTTTTTTCGCAGAAGGGATTGGTACTCGGTGTGTACGAATCGGAGATCGAAAACAACATCTCGCTTACACCTACAGCAGTCAAGTACAATGAGTCTGTTAATGGCAAACTGCTGAATAACATTCTGCTGTAAGTCTCAAGCGTTATAGTTCAAAATTTGTTAACTTGATATATGTGCGTGATTTAGACATAGTATCGCAGTATATATATACGTATATATGTAGTATTTATATATGTATATATATATGTGTGTTAGAGTACAGCATATTTCTTATCTCGACATGGCTCTACCTATCGGACGCTGTTTAAGAAAAACACATTTGCGAGACTTTTTTGCTATGACTATTTTATAACACATATTTAACTCCATGTCTGAACATTTGTTTTCTCCATATTGAACCCACTTTCTTATCTCGACTGACATCTCAACTTTGTTTTCTCACATATGTATGTATACTTCTTATGTGTAATTTGTTTAACAAGTGTTTATCATCACTCCACAAGATACAGAGATACACGATGCGACAAAGATCTCATTGACGATTGTTGCCACACTCTCTGCCAAGTTTATCCTTTCATTTTGTTTTTTTTTTGTTTTTTGTTTTTTTTTTTTTTTATCGTACGATGTAACACAACAAAATATGTTTAAATATTTTATTCATCTTTCCAGCCTGAAACAATTGTTATAATGCTGCCTGAGCTTTATATCTGACATTCAGAAGTGCTTTCCCTTTGTTTATCTCGAAATTCGTACATGAAATATACATTTTTCTGTTTTTTCGAAAAATTTTTGAATTCTTGAATGAACGATAGCTTTTTTCCCTTACGAACACAATGAGCTCACTGGCATTATTTTCATTGTTTCAGGAGTGACTAGACAGAGAAATGGTATTGTACACATGATATGAAGCGCAACTCGCTCCGCACAAGGAATTCCTAGAGAAAATATACGCCGCGCTTTTGTAAATTGAGAATATAAATATTGCTCGTGTGTAACGTTGTTTACCAACAACGCGACGTCGGAACAGGTGTTAGGAAATTTTATGATCCGTTCATGCGTCCCAATTAACCGTATTGCTGCTTTGCAAACGGACGGAAATCGATTAGAGTAAGTAATAGTAATGTCGACTTCTGGCCATAATAATATGGGAAACGATAGCAGCGCGGGGAGCAGCGGTGGATTAGGCGATGGTAGCGGTAAAGTCGGTAAGATTACGAACGTGCTGCAGAGAATGACCGGAACGTTAGAGGACAAGAGCAACGATTATATGTGTCCGATTTGTTTTGATCTTATCGACACGGCGTACATCACGCGTTGCGGTCACACCTTCTGTCACCACTGTATCGTAAGGAGTTTGGAGATGAAGGATCGCTGTCCAAAATGCAGTTTTACACTGAACGAACGGGACATTTTCCCAAATTTTTTGCTGGACGAACTAGTTTCGAAATACAAGACGAGAACCAAGAGTCTCTCGCAGTTGGGTCAATCGGCGGAGAACAGTAAGCACAGAGCGACGGGTAGCGATTTGTCAGCTCCAGCGTCCGATGGATTGAGAAGCATCGTCGCAGCTGAGAGCGCCAATCTCACTCTACCCGATGTGAACGTGATGTTGGAAGTACTGACGCAACGAAAGCACTTGCTCGAGGCGGAGACTCTCACGGCACAGAACAAGCTCTTGCACGAATTTCTTAAGCATTTGCTGCAACAGAAAGAAGAACAAAGGAATCAGTTACAAAAGGAGGTTGCGCTGATCAAGAGAGACATGGAAGAAGTGGAGAACATTCTGAAAGATGTTCAGAGTAAGTGTCCGCGAGTCGAGGATGTTAAGAAAGCCAGTGAGAACGATAGTGCGCAGGTATCGGCCATTAGGCGGGAGATGCTCGGTCTTATAGATATAATAGATTCGAATATGGTAAAACCCAGCGACAAGACACCGACCTGCGGTAACGACAGCTTCGCCGTACCGAGTGCCGGTCAGCCCGCGGGTGTGTCGACTCTGGCCGTGCGTAGAAAACGGCTGCACGCTCATTTCGACGACTTTGTTCAGTGTTACTTCGATTCGCGCGGCAAGGAACTGTTGCTCGGTCAGAAATCGCAAACTCTGAACGAGACGCAGCAACAGCACGGCGGTCCGCACAGCACGAGTTCCGGTTTGGATGTTTTTCGTGAGAATCTCGTCAAATTTTCCCGATATAATTTTCTACGCCCGTTAGCTACTCTCAACTACTCCTCGGATCTCTTCAATAACTCCACGATCGTATCCAGTATCGAGTTCGACAAGGATAACGAGTTCTTCGCGATCGCTGGCGTGACGAAGCGAATAAAAGTTTTCGATTATAATGCCGTGATACGCGACACCGTTGACATTCACTATCCGTGTATCGAAATGATCTCCAGTTCGAAGATTTCGTGCGTCTCGTGGAATTCGTTTCACAAAGGTATGCTCGCGTCTTCGGATTACGAAGGTACTGTGACAGTATGGGACGCAACAACGGGTCAGCGTACCAAGGCGTTTCAGGAGCACGAGAAACGATGCTGGTCTGTCGATTTCAACGATGTGGACACCAGACTGATAGCGTCCGGTTCTGATGACGCTCGGGTTAAATTGTGGGCCTTGAACACCGATTATTCCATCGCGTCCTTGGAAGCGAAGGCAAACGTGTGCTGTGTGAAATTTAATCCGCGCAGCTCTTGCCACCTTGCCTTTGGTTCCGCGGATCATTGCGTGCACTATTATGATCTGCGTAATATGAAAGAGGCGTTGTGTATATTTAAAGGCCATCGTAAGGCTGTTTCGTACGTCAAGTTCTTAAATAAAGAAGAGATCGTATCGGCAAGTACGGATTCTCAGTTGAAAATGTGGAACATAAATAATCCACTCTGTCTGCGATCATTCGTGGGACATGTGAATGAGAAAAATTTCGTTGGACTCGCGACCGACGGTGATTACGTCGCCTGTGGATCGGAAAATAATGCATTGTACGTATACTACAAAGGACTGACAAAGCAATTGTTTTCGTATAAGTTCGACGCTGTACGAAGCATATTGGAGCTACAGGACAGAAGGGACGAAGATCTGAATGAGTTCGTTTCGGCCGTATGCTGGAGACAAATGTCCAATGTAGTGGTGGCCGCTAACTCTCAAGGCATTATCAAAATATTAGAACTAGTTTGAGATAATTATATAGAGTATAAACATTGAGAGGGAATTATGTGTGAGAATATAAAGCGCATAATATCAATATAAATATAAAAAGGGTCTAAATATAGGAATAGAAAAGAACGTAGAACACAAAATTGTAAAATTTGCGAAGAAATTTTCTATTTCGGATGAGAGATGAATACGATTACATGTACTTATGCAACAATCATACATATACGTCACACCCAAACACACGTGACATCGGATATAATATTTCTATTTGTATTCTCAGCGCTTAGTTTTTAGATCCTTTATGTTTTTTTTTTACAGCTGTTTTTGTCTTATGATTAATTGGAACGGGATTTCTCGAATTTTCGTCGTTGTTTTCGTTCGTCTCGCCGTTGTCGTTGTCGTTGCCCTCTTTTTTCGCCGCGCCGTTGTTGTCATCGTTCTCTTTGTTTGCCGCGTCGCCATCGTGTTTTTCTTTGTTATCCTTATTCGCGTTTCCGTTCCAATCTTTGCTTTTTGCTTTCGCTCTCAATTTGGCACGTAGTAGTTTGTAAAACATGTCGGATTCCGGCGCGCTGTACAGATCTATAAATGTTCATTGTATGGTCCATGATGCGGATGTCGTAAACGCGGTAAAGATTCAGAAGCAATTTTCTCTCGCGAGCCTAAATGACTTCGCGGTACAACCAATTGCAATCCGCGAGCATCTTATCAACAAAGAGACTGTCTCCGTCGTTTGTGATCAGTCCCAACTCTTATCTCGATTGCCAAGACTTTTTTTTTTTGCCTTTTTCGCTCTCTTTGTAGTCGGCGTTTTCACGCGACAACGACGGCAACGACAACGTCGCCTTTTTGTTCGCCTGGCGTGCCAATCGCGCTTCAACAACATCGAGTACATATGTTTCATCTCCATGGTTATCAAAAAATCGCGTTGCGTTGCACTTTTGATAACGCGACGACGAACAACGCGATTTGTCCCGTCGCTCATCATGCGATAACAACATTGTTTTTCGTTGGCTTATGACAACCGAGAGAATACCACCGATTTCTTCAAAAAGACGACGTACCGCGAATGAATGTGCGCAATCGAAGATAACCGAGTCCTGATTGATGCTATTCAAATGTCGCGGCTCGATATATAAGGCAGCACGAAATCTGCATCATCCTATCTTTATTTTACGTCTAATAAGCGATAAAGATAAAATGATGCAATAACGCAGATAGCGCGCTTTCCGAACGCAGCCCTAATTTCCAAAGTGAAGATAACACGATTCGAGTGATACGAGAGATAACACAGATATCGTCATCTCGTTGTTAACGTCCTCGTTCTCGTTGTCAAAAGTAACAACGAGAAATATGACGATTATTATTCTAAATAATCTTGTTACATGTAACAAAGATGATTTTTATTACAATGGAAAACCTACGTGTAAAATCTAACGACACTGAAAATGCGCTATCAACCAATATTATTGTAAGTGAAGATCGATCAAAGCTCAAATACATCTGGAGAAACTTTTTCTCCGGATCTCTCGTGTAAATTGTGTGTAAATATTGATTAGAGGAAATTGGCTGTCAGTATTTTTACATTGAACGCTTGGTTGAATTTATCTTCTATAATCTGATATTAAAAATATTCGAATTAATTTACACGCGCGATACACATGTCTAATAAACGTTGTGTACTGTTGCAACAATTTGTTATACAAGTTGTCGCATTTAATAATTTGTGAATACTTTTCGCAACGTTGTTGTACTACACTGATACTTAACATCTTATGCACAGATATATATATATATATATTTTTAGACATGATTATAAGAGTGTAATATATGTATATTTCTCAAATTATTATGCAATATAAGTATATATATATGTATACATATATATATATATAATTGCATAATAATATAAAATAATATAATATACATATATAATGTATTAAATATATATAAATTATATATAATATCATATGACATATATTGGACTTTTTGTATGAGCGTATGTGTGCGTGCACATATATCTGAGGCACATTTATTTTTGTGTATATATACTTTTTTAGTTAATATCAGTATGAAGAAATCTCAATTGTAGATTTTTTATGATGATTGGTTAGCGGTGAAATCTTGTACCGAGCTGATAATATCACAGTTGCGCGATTCTGTAAACAAAACCGTGATAAAAAGTCTAATCACCCTTTCACAAACAAATGTACGATGATTGAGGGGATAGATAGCGCGTGTTCTTTCGATTAAAACGTACTAATTTGCAGCTGTTTTTGTTTGCTGCTTATAAAAAATACTGATCATTCTTTTTTTTTATAAAAATCACATTAAAAAGTTTGTTGATGTTTACATTCAGCCTAATTGAGCGTAATTAAAAACAAATGTGTTCTCTTGTATTGATAAGGCAACACACAGCTATTATTCTAAGCAATATAATAAAAAAAAAATCTTTATGTGCCAAAATATAAAAAAAGGCAAATATAGAAAAATCGAGTGATACAAATGTTGTGGTAAAGATTAGATAAAAGCTAGAAATTTAATTATCTAATTTTTTTTTTTATCCATAAAGGATAAAAATTAAAACATATTATTTTTTAGTAAAATAATATGTTCAAATTTTTTTATAACCGTTTTCCAATACATGTATTGTTTTTCGTCTATTGAAATCAATTGTCTGTGTAAAAGAAGTCTGTTTTTAAGTTATATTATACTTTATTCACTTTATATTGTATAAATAAAACCCCATGACAGAGTTATATTATTGCTGACGTAACATTGTTGTATATATATAAAAGAAACTAAGATTCGCTAATGTAAATCACAATTGTATAATAACTTAAGTAGAAAACTCTCACTTATAGGTTGTAAAAAACGTGTTCGTAAAAGTTTTATGGCATAAATCGAAACGTACTCGTAAACGTTTTACGGCATAAATTCAAACACCTGTTAGAAAAGGCCGAAACGTGAAACAACTATCTGTAATACGTATCGGCGCCGATACTTTAGATAAGAAACAGCAGTTGTGAATTATTACGTATTACTAAAAAAATCTCTGAAAAGAGAGTGACTACAAACACACACCGATATGTAATGCCACCTGCGCACAAAAAAAAAAAAAAAAAAAAAAAAAGGGAATTATTCTAGAGTAAAAATAGAAAAATATTTTTAGAATGTATTTTAAAAAATTGCAAATTATATATACCATATCGCGTATATGATGAGTGTCAAAAGAAAAAATTGCCTAGATTTTATTGTAATTAATAAATCTGAATTTGTGTCTGCAGACTTGTCTTCCATATGCTTTAACTACTATTGCATGTTTCCTCTCCTCTCCTGTATCTCAGTCACAATCACGATGCTCTTCTAACTAATTAATTTCGAATGAATGTTTACGCCACACAGAGCGGGACCAAAGATTCCTAAGGGTCAAGCTAGAATATTTTGGGGTTTGGATGAAAAGGATTTTAACGGAGTCGTTGTAGTCGGTCTCGGAAAGCAAAGTCTCGGTATTAACGTGCTCGAGGAAATCCACGAGGGAAAGGAGAGTGTGCGCGCTGCTGCAGCAGGTAATTAAAAAAATTTACATATCACGATTTGTTCATAAAACCAGAAGTTGGTTTTTTTTTTTAATTGTAAAATTATATATATTTCAGCGGGGTGCCGTGCGCTGGACGACGTCGATATAAAAGATATCCAACTGGAAACGTTGGGAGACGCGGAAGCCGCCGCTGAGGGAGCTGGTTTAGCCACGTGGCTTTATCAAGGGTGTAAGAACGAAGAGAAGAAGAAAAAGTTACCAAAGATTTCTCTGTACGGAGAAAGCGGACAGTGAGTTTTTCAATCGTCATTTGTTGCAACAAAATCTGTTGTGGTAAAAAAAGCTAGTCTTATAATCGCACAAATCCGCAATCTTGTATTTTTTTGTTTTTTTAGAGCGGAATGGCGAGTAGGTCTCATCAAAGCCCAAGCTCAGAATTGGGCTCGCGAGCTCGCGGACACACCCGCGAACCTGATGACGCCTACGATATTCTCGCAGAAAGTTACCGAGGTATTGACGCAACTCGGAGTCACCGTTCAGGTGCACGAGAAGGAATGGGCAGAGAAGAAAGGCATGGGTTCGTTTCTCAGTGTGGCGCGAGGTAGTGAGGAACCACCCAAGTTTCTCGAGATCAGTTATAAAGGAGCTGATAGTTCGAGTGAGTTGCCGGTGACGCTTGTCGGAAAAGGAGTCACCTTCGACGCTGGTGGCATCAGTCTTAAGGTAAGTTTCTTTTGCTGGGCGACGTAAAAAGAAAAAGAATGAAACACTTGAGAACAATTGCTCGCTCGGACAGCCGTCGTCGGAAATGGATGAAATGCGTGCCGATATGAGCGGCGCTGCCTGCGTAGCCGCTACTATTCGAGCCGCGGCCGAGCTTAAATTGAAGAAGAACATTGTCGGATTGATCCCGCTCACGGAAAACTTGCCATCCGGACACGCCACGAAGCCGGGTGATTTGGTACGAGCGATGAACGGCAAGACTATCATCGTCGACAACACCGACGCTGAAGGCAGACTTATTCTTGCAGACGCTCTGTGCTACGCTCAAGAATTCAATCCAAGGTAGGCTACTATCGTGTATTTAATATCATTTTTATTTCAATTACTCAATTTTTACTCAATTTCAAATATGAATTGTCTAAGAATATTGAACCATTTCGCGAATTTCTTTACAAACAGATTTGTCGTGGATGTCGCTACATTAACCGGTGCTATGAGAATAGCCTTATCCAACTCCGCGACTGGAGTTTTCACCAATGACGGTAACCTCTTTGAAACTTTGAGAAGTGCCGGTACAGTAACCGGCGATCGAGTATGGAGATTACCTCTGTGGAAGCACTTCACTGACGAAGTGACGAGTAAGCGTCCTCTCAATGTTTACCTCGACTAAGCATTTGTTTTTTAATACAGACTATTTTCAATATTCGGCGTATATATATACAATACATGTATGTATGTATTGTTTGTATTTTAAAGCTTATGAAATCGCAATACTTTTCAGAAAAAGTCAAGGGAGCAGATTTAAACAATATCGCGAAGTGCAAAGGCGGTGGCTCCTGCACCGCCGCTGCCTTCTTAAGAGAGTTTGTTCCCAAGGATACACCGTGGATGCATCTGGATATCGCGGGTGTCATGGGTCCTGCCCACGACGAGTTACCATACATCCCAGCCGGAATGACCGGGCGTCCGACACGTACGCTTATACAATTCCTGCAGACTTTGTCTTAAAGCCAAGCCAGCCAGGTCATTTTGCGCAACATGCAAATCTCTCAGTCGGGTCCTTTGTATAATTTTATATACATATATAAAAATCTACACATAAAAAGATATGTATATATAGAGATATACATGTTATATACATATAGGGGAATCGCGCCTAATATGGAGAGGACTACATTGGATATTTTCGAGAGAATAATTTTTCTTTTTTTTTTTTTTAAGATATAAGGTAGAGAAGAGTTAGTGAGAGAATAAGAAAATGCTGTGTATTTTAATTTATATGCTTATCTTCTCACGGCTGTGTTTTACATATATTGTCTTACGAATTGTTATTTCATTTTCCGGATCACACGAAAAAAAAGTACCTCACCATATTAGACACTGCCTATATTCTTAAGAAGTTACCACTTTTTTATATATTTAAAATAGATGTGAGCGCAGAAACAATAACATACAAATAATATGTATACATACAATATGTTTAACATAGAGTATGTCTTGTAGCGTTTAAATGAAAATTTGCGCGTTTCTCATTTTTTCAGGTAGTTTTACTTTGTTAAATTTAGTTATTCTTTTTTTTCTCTCTTTCTCTTTCTCTTTCTCTCTTTCTCTAAACGTTTCTTCTAGAAAACAATTTTGTTTTATATAATTCTGCATTTTTCTTTTTTAAGTTACAATTTAGTTTCTTTTACAGGAAAAAGAGGGAAGTGATTTATACTTCTAGCTTTTTTTGGCAAACTCATGTGACATTACCTAATAGATAAAGGAGAATGGTAAAAGATAGCCATTTCTGAGTACGCCTGGGAGTGAAAAAGTAGAGTATCACTCAAAGAACAAAAAAATGTTTTTATCACTTTCCCAAAAAAAATTGTTTTGTGTGAATTTTTCATTTCCAGGCGGATCCAAAAATGATTATTTTCTACTATCCTCCAAATATTCAGTAAAATTTTTATTTAATATTCATATAACTATTTTTTTGTACATTTCTGTCTGAATTCTCTCTTTTACTTGTCTATAAAGATTTTATTAAACATTTTCTCTCTTAGACACCATTCCCCTATATAAAAACGACTCACTTCTGTCAGGAATTGATCAAAATATTTGTACAACTTTGTAATTTTGTACAGTCAGGTTTATCTTTATGTGTAAAGGCTAACTTTTTCTTTTGGTAAATACTTTCGAGGACAATTTATTATTTTTACAATCAGGATATTAATAGTAGTAAATAGCGAAAAAGTTAAGAAAATGTGTTTTTAATTAATAAATCATATTATACAGTATAATATTGTACAGAATGTAGCTGTTGTATATAATTTGTGTTTACATGAATACATCGAATCTAGAACCTATCGCAAATAGTATAAGCATCTTATCCTGAAGTCAATGAAGTTCGATTTTAAACGAAAACTGTTGCAGGACAGATGCTTGTACTAGTTCTGACGTGATCAACGTATGTCACATATATTTTGATATTTTGCACAGTACATCATTTTCGATGAATGTACAATTTTTATTGATATATCGCACGGACAGTACATCAAAGGCACTGCATAAAACGCGGTTTATAAAAATGCTGACAAATTTTTCCCCAGAAAAATCGATCTTGTGGAATATAATGCGGTATAAAGAAATAGGAATATTCTTCGCATTCTTATCTCTACACATACAAGCAAAAGTGGTCGCATCGGGTGTTATGTTCGCATTACGTATAATAACCGTTATATACAATTTTCGAACATTTGTTCATCTTCCTTTATATATTGAAAAAAAATGTCGCTTCTTATATTCTACATTGGAATTTTACTCGGTCTGCGTAAGCTCGCCATTTTACAATTCTCCCGACTAGTAGACATTACAAAACTAAAACGTCTATCTGTAGCATACAGAAGTTTCACGAAGAACACAATATTCACTGTATTGTCAAATCAAAATCGAATCACAATAAAACTGGCACTTTGAACGCTGCGTTCACACACTGAGACCTCAATAAATTTATCGAGGATATGTGTCCACATTGTAATCTTGAGTTTCAGCCGTTACAGTGTGGCATCACCGGTGTGCAGCATATTTCGAAGAGTACAAACACACACTCCGTAACAACCGAGTATGTGTTCACCTGCTCGCGATCGCTACACAGTAGTTCCTTTTCTTCCGTCACGAAAATAAATTTTAAAAATGTTCAAAAACACTACATTCACGTGCAAGGCGGAGGAGGCTGCTGTTGTGGAGAGGGAAGGGGCGCCGCCGCAGCGGCTGCGACTGCGGCGGCAGCAGCGTAGGACGACGGGTCTGAGTGATCGAGAAGCGGTGGTGGCGGCGGTAGACCGCTGGTACCGCCGCCTCTTCCTCTACCTCGGCCTCTTCCACGACCCCGGCCCCGGCCCCTCCCCCTTCCGCGTCAACTCCGCCTCTCTGGCATCCCTATGTTGCTCGTTGTCTTTTCCAGGAAAGCCAGCGGCCCCTGTAAAGCGCTGCTTCCCATACTGCCAACGGGGAAACCGGCAGCTCTGCCGCCGGCGACACCCACACCGCCTTGTGCCATAAACATACCCTGCTGGCTGACGGGCACGCCGACTCCCTGAAGGCCCGACGTTGGCGGGCCACCTGAACCCTGTTGCACCTGCAAAGGCACATCAAGTGAGGACTGTATCGTGAAGACTACACATAACGTGAAAAAAAATACGACAAGAACACGTGTATCCTCCTTGATACATATATATATATATATATGATCACTGAACAAAAATTAGATAAGCTTTTACTTGGTATTTATGTTTTCCCTGCGGTCCTAATTCTATAATTTTTCTCCTTTTCTCAAGACAGAGCCGAATCAGAAATATGTATTTCTACGTGCATGCACAAGTACAATTATATCAGAGAGACAGACAACGTGAAGCAAGCGAATGATGAAGAGAATCCGTCGGAGGATCCGTCGAATATATAATAGGAATGTGACAATAGGCGAGGGAAATGAAAGAAAGCACAATGGTTTTGCGATGAACAGAGATATTTATTCGCAACAAATATCTACTTGTGAGTAAGGGCAACATATAAGCGAAACAGTATTTCCCAAACCACAAACGACTATATATATAATGCTCTTCTCTTACAAAGTTACTTGCAAACTTAAAATTTAAACTCTACAATATATATATATATATATATATGTTCATTTTATCACATCTAAATATATAGAGAAATATAAGTTCTTTATTCGCGCGACAAAAATGTTTTGCATGAAACTATTTTTTGCAGGAGGAACTCTTGTGACGACGAGTTATTCTTCTATGTACAAATATAACACAATTTCGTTCACACCGATTTTACCGTCGAAACCGTATACTCTCGATGCGCATGCATACATAATATCTACATGCAGAGGTGAGCGTTTTTTTATGCTCGCGAAAATATTGATAGCGAAAATCTTGTGACCACATATTTGTTTTTGCAAATGCAGAAATATATATGGCGCAAAGAAATACACTGTGTGCTCATATAAGAGAAAAGATATTAAAAAAATATCCCTTAGTTATACACATAGATCAAGGAATCTGCTCTTAAATGCAGCAAAGATGATTACTAACCTTTCGCGTTAATGTGAAGTATATAGTGTACGTGTAAGTGTGAATGTGTAACGATTATAAATATTCCTAAGCTTTAGTATATTGCCGTAGATTTACACGTTCTTTTTTTTTTTTTTTTTTTTTGTTTTGGTTAAGTATTTGTACATGTTTTCGTATTTATTGTTTTGGCACCGTTTTACAACAGCGTTTTTGCACATACAACGTAATCCTTCGATACTTTCTTCGTAAAATGAAGTACTACTAGTTATATGTATCTTTGTATATAATTTTCTATATCGCAGAATTAATTGTAAAAGCACTTTATAATCTGTTTTTCCTTTAAATAGTCGTCGTATTGTATACATATAGTTTGTATATAAGTTTGGATAGGAATTATATAAGGCACTGTGATATCATACACAATATCATTGTAGTCATTTTTCTTATGCGGCTCAACTGTCATTTCCTCAGTAACTGTTATTCGATAAAAACAGCAACTTTCTTTAGCATTTTGGTAAGTATTTCAGTCATTTTCAAAGAAAGAGTTTAACTTAACAATTATATATAAATGTTCTTTCTGTCCCATAAAATTCTTTAAGTGCGCACTCTTTCGTTCATACACACAGACATACAGTTTTGCACATATTATGCAAATAAATTTGTTATCGCGCATCTCGAACAAATGTAATAAACAACAGAAAAGCGGATAGCGTAACAATAAATATATTTTATAGTAAAAAATAGCAAACAAATCGCGTAATGTAATATAACTATGTGATGTGTGTGTGTGTGTGTGTGTGTTCGTTAATATTGGCCAGATAAAAATCTGTTGCATTCTTTTTCTTCTGTATAAAGACCAAACAAGTTTTTTAAGTCTTATTCTCTCATGCTTCTTTGTTTTTTTTTCTGTATTAAAAACTAAAGACACTTTTTTACACGTTTGTCCAATTGTACTTTCCATTCTTTACTTCTTTTTATATTCCGCACTGTGTGTTCGTTTCTTTTGCACCTGATTTAGAGAGTTATTACTGTTGTGCCCCATTAAAGAATTTTTAAACATAATATGTTTTAAATGATGTTACTTAAATACCTGTTGTTGCAATGGATGCTGCAACTGCTGCTGCAGCTGCGAGTGCTGTTGTTGCTGTTGCTGCAATTGCTGCTGCAGTTGTTGTTGATGCTGAAGTAGTTGTTGCTGTTGCTGCATCGAAGCGTTTCCGCCGCTTGCCGCTTGCTGATTCTGCCCGCTTTGATTTCCACCGGAGAGCCCTGTTATCTCAGCAACATTTGACATTATTAAATGTCCTGTTTTAACTAAGATTTAAAATTTGCTTACCGCTAGCTGACGGACCTTGCGCAGGTGACTGCGCCCATCCCTGCAAATCCGACAACATATTTTGCCAGACCGCGATTTTTTCATTGTGCCTTTTTATGAGCTCTTCTTTGCGAGACAATTCCGCCTTCAGGTCAGTGATCTCTTCCTTAATCACTAGTTCAGGCTTCAGTGCAGACAGCAAAAATCTCTTCTGCAGAAAAAAAGCTTCCATTTGTCTGGCAAGATCAACAAATCTCACTGTGGCTTGCTCCATTTCTGCGCGACCCTCATCTTTATCCACAGTCAAACCACCAGATGCGCCAGTCCCATTGTTTCCTAATCCTTCGTCCTTTATCAATATGCTCAAACATTGCTGGAAATTAATAAACGGTTTATATAAACCAGAGAACATCAAAATAAATTTAATTCATTGTCCTGTACGTGTGTGAAGAATGCAATTTATCAATCGCGTCACCTTACAAACGAAATTCCAAAATTCTCCACGTGTCAAGCCAAACTGTATGTTTTATCATCATATCTTACCTGAAACGCTTCTTCGAACTCGTCGACTAGGTTACCGTTGCTGTTGGTCGGCGTCGCCATTATATTCGCGCGATTTACGCGCAAAAACAATTATTTCGATTTTTCGGTTGGTTCGATATCGTGGAAATCGCATACAAACTCTCTTCCGTTGAGAAATGTTTGTGCATTATGACTGTGGAATCTCCGGAAAGTCAAGGCGAAACAGATGGAATCGGCGAATTCACTAAGCTTTAAACAACGGCACTTCTCCCGTGCGCTGTTAATACACCACGGTTTTAACCAGGAAAAAGACTGAGCGAGAACATGTCACATTTTCTATTACCGCTATTCTGCTCTGTTCGCTGGCGCTATGTCTAGAGTGGTGCACATTGGCAACTACGTAGTAGTCCACGAGCGGTTTGTCGGTGTGTACGTTGCATGCCCATCTATGGCTGCGTTCTGATATTCATTGCAGTACTAAAAATAATATATATTTCACATCACATGTGTTAGATAGATTTCCAGTACTGGGAATGAAGGTCGGAACGCAGCCAATGTGTAAACACGAACCGGTTGGCTTGCACTGCACATCAGTACCGATGCACATGCATAGAGCACGGAATAGAACCACAATATGTATAAACAGAGCACGGTAAAACACCACGTGCTTACTACCGTAGTAATTACAGCATCACAAGAAACACTATGTACATTTCTTTGTTAATTAGGTTTTAGTAGAAAATAAAGAGTGAAAATAAGTTTTAGCGGAAACACTGATCACTACTGAGTTTGATGTTGAATTAGAAAACGAATTGACGGAACTGTTACAAGAAAGATGGCGAACTCTTTCCAACATTCGTCGAATCAGAATTTCAAAACTTGGAGCACCATTTTGAGGAATATGGACAGTAAAAATATCTTCAGAAGAAATTATTTATTGTTACAATCACATTTGATAATACACTACTAAAATTTGTTTAATACACATTTTACTTTTTTTTAAACACAAATGTGGTTGTACCATCTCGTAAAGACACGTCGTTGAAAAAAAGAAATTGAAAAAAAGATTGAATGTTTGCAAATTGCAACAATATTTCGGTAATATTTGAATAGAATTATTCCGATAACTAAAACTTTTTTTTTATTGTGTGTGTGTGATTTCTTTTTTGAAAATACTTTCCTACAACTATACATATATTATATATTGCAACTATACATATATTATATATTATATATCGTAACACTTATGTTTCTATAAAAAGCATATACATAAATATACACAAAATAGATTAAGATAATTGATTGAGACAATTGGTTAAGACAATTGCTGTTATACTTAAGTGACTTATATTTACTATTGTACTGTATTTATTTATACTCATATTAGTAAGCTACGTTTCATATACATTACACTATTTTTTAATTAAAAATACTTTACAGTTGATACTTAGTTTCATATTAAAGTGACGAAGTACACTGTCAGAAATGTGAAGCTCTTCTTAATCATCGTTACACACGTAAAAAAATATTGTTTATAAGTATCTTTAGGTATTCCATTTAACAACATTGCACTTTCATATCCAAGCACACAGTCACTTCCAATCACTAACAGCAGTACAAACATAGTACAAAATTAGCATTTCACTTTCACATTCGAAAATCACTAGTATATTTTGTTAGCACCTTAAAAATAATGTTTTTTATTTTGTATTATTTATCATGTAAAATCTCCGTTTGAGCACGTAGGTTGCTGTTTTCTTTCTAATTTTGATAATATATCGTGTATAAACGAAACATGGCTGGATATTTGTGTAAATATGGTAACCATATTGTGGTTACACCGAATAACCGCTACTTCTTGTATCAAGCCTAGAGAGGAAGTAACAACACCCCGAAGATACCATAAGCCATCACTAAAAACAACTACCCCATTACCGCTGTCACCGTCACACACGAAGGAACCTGAAATATTTGTACAATTTGTATTTATACACTGGTTACACTATCACCACAATATCAGTCGTAGCTTTTCTCTGTTTTTTTTTTTCACTGACCGTTCGTGTATCTCGCACAGAACTTGTCATGTGAACTAATATACTGTTCTGTGTCAGTATTTTGCGCCGCAGATGTGCATTGATCGATCGAACCATACGACATCTCCAGCGCCTGCAACATCCCGCTGGAAGTACTAGTTGCCGACGGTCTATCAAATGCCGGCAACTTTATTGTACTGTTTTGTTTCAGTACGGGCAAAGCATTAAACAAATCGATGCATATAGGAATTAGATAAGCCGACTTTTCGAACGGTCTGTCAACCTGTAATATCGCGATCTCCGCTCCGACACTTCCTCTCGAATCTATGTAATTGCACGTAAAGTAAATATTGGAAACCTGCAAAAAAACCATTTGACTATTTAGAACCGAGCGCGTATAGATACGCATATGTTACATGTACATTATAAAACCTGTCTTTTTTGAACGATGGTTTCGTTGTGAGACAAGTCGAAATGTCTGTAAATATTTCCTGTCATTATGTGAATCTTGGTAGGATCAATTGGTCGTTTATCCCGCTCACTGTACACACAATGGGCAGCTGTTATTAAAAGATTCTCTTTGATGATGGATGCTCCGCAAATATATGTCTTCGATTCACCGCGGTACAACGAAGCGTGCCATGGAAAATCCGCGATATTAGACCGGTAACCGTTCAAGAAAGACGAGATATTTTTGGCAGGAAGCGTGCCGCACGCTGTAACAAACATTTTCATTCGAGACTTTGTCTTGATCCAATGAAATAAGAAAAAAGCGTCAAACATTAAAAATAATTCACAATATTAATCGTAACTATCTCGCATCATATCGTAAATAATTCTGCAATTGAAGAATACGAACGATCGCTTTTGAGTATGTCACAATGAAAGTGAACAACTTCTATTACACTTCAATTATACTTTGCTTGATGTTGTATAACAACTTTGAGTACATGTAAATTTTGTAGATAAACATATATACATATAACTTTTTATATCATATAACGTTGAATAAAAATTAAATACATAAATCTTGTTCCACAATACTATTTTAGTAAAGCTGTCAGTATAAAAAGTTATTTTGAGATACGTATCACAAAATTTTCATTACGCAAAGAAAAAGAAATGTAAAGTATCTTAATACAGAAAAGTAACTGGGTGTCGAATCGTCACCAAATTTTTCTTCTATCACGAATATAAAGTAAAAAGATGCACACATATAAAAGTCTTATAAATCATTTCACATTTTTAAGACTACACAATGTTTTTCTCTCACTATATGATCTTGATATTCTACTAAATTTGTAGATAAATTTCCACCATTTTATTTCTAATAATTTTGTTATCCGAAATTGCGACTAGCGTAGTGTTATTATGTGTCTAAAACAGTCGTAATCCGCAGCTTAGTACACTTAAAATACATTTATTGTGATCGAACCTGCAACACATTGTATAGGTTCTGGATCCCATTTCCCGGTTTCATTACATATTACGGATATACTTCGCCGATCGTTTACTCGCCGATAATTGTTTCTGCATTTCAGCATTGCTCTAGTCCTCGGTAGAACTGAAGAATCACACGGCACCCATTTTTCCTGTGTAGTATATCCACACATAGCTCTAGTGGACACTGAGTTCAAAGCTTTGCAGCGTATTTCTATACAAAAAACATTTTGTACTGTAATTTGGTCATCACTCTTTTCTTGTAACAATAATCATTAGAAGTTACTACTTTGAAAAATATTTATCGAGTATATTTCATTTCTCGAAGCTACTACTAAAAATACCTCTGCATTCTGGTATATACAGCCAATTTCCCTCAAAAGTACAACTCACAACAGCAGAACCGTTAAGTTTATATCCTTCGTTACAAGAATAGATAAGCTGAGAACCTGCTGGAAGATCTATAACTTCTGTAAAATCACAATTCTGTCTAACCAGACATAATCTGCTATTCAGCGTCCAGCGACCGTTTTGTGGCTGTGGTGGTGCTATGCAACTTGTTGCTCGGGAAACAATTTGTGGACGTGTTGTCTGCGGACGTGTTTCTTCCGTAGATGGTTGTTTAGATGGTGCGGGCTTCCACGTACTGATCGATTTTCCTGAGCACACTTGTGAATCTTCATCCGACCCGTCGGCGCAATTAATCACTCCGTCACATTGTAGATAAGAATCTATACAAGCGCCATAAGCGCAACGGAATGCCACAACGGCACACCTGCAAATAAGTTGTCAGTTGTAAATTATTTACTTTTATTAACTCAACTTGAATTTTAAACATTTCCTAAAAATAAATTGAAATTGCATCCTTACAATAACGATCTGCACCACACGGACGTTTCGTCGGAGCCATCCGCGCAATTCCGGATTCCGTCGCACGCTTCGATTTCGGGAATACATTGTCCGTTGTCGCATCTGAACTGAAAGGATTTACATGGCGAGAGATTGTCCGATCCATTGACGATATCCGTAGTGTCGCATTGAGGCAGCGTTTCGTCGCTATTGTCAATGCAGTCTTTAACACCGTTGCAGATCAAGTTTCCGTCTATGCACGCACCGTAGTTACAACGAAATGCGAGAGAAGAGCACAAATTTTCCGACTTTTTACATTCGCTCTGCGTTTCGTCGGACGCATCTCTACAGTCCACTTTGCCGTCGCACAACAAGTAGCCCGCTATACACTCTCCGTTGCGGCATCGAAATTTATCCAACCTGTTTTCAAACAATTAGAGTAATAATAGAAACTTGAGATATTCTGTATTGCGATTTATAGTGCAACACACATACACACATGCGAAACAAAAAAAATACTTACTCACACTTGGTAATTTCTGCATACGTAGAAACAATACAAACTGCTGCAACAAATCCAAGCATTATCTTAGTTTACTATACAAATCAAATAATTTTGTTGGTTTAATATTACTTTACTGTGTATCATCTACTACGTAAATAAGATAAATTCTTTACTCCAGTTCAAGGCCAATCGAATCATAGATTTTACAACTACGATATTTATTCCTTAAAAAAAAAAAAAATATGCGCGGTTATGTGTGTACGAACAATAAAAAGTTAAAAGCAGTTCGAAATTTACATTTTATAAGTTTTTTGTAACCATGAATATATTACATGCTACGATTTTTTATCTTCTTTTTTTTAACCGAGATAAATCAAAGATAATTTACAAACAACAAACGTGTTTTACCACACCACTGGCGTTACTGAAAAATAAGTGCATTTTTTTAGTAAACAATTCTTATTTTCACATTTCGTTTTTATATACGCACATATGTATTGATAAATAGAAATATCACTGAAAACAATTTCTGGGAACAAAAATTTTGTAATCAATATTTCTTCTGAGAAAAACCATTGCACTTTTTTCACTTCTAAAATAAAGAGAATCTTATTTGTTGCACATTCGTCGATATAAATATGCAATATCTGACAATTGCGATTTAATGTACAATACCATAAATAAAAGCGATGTGTGTTACACTTCTCATCATAATCATGGAGAACGGTCTGGTTACAATGTCAATCATTATCTCACTGTTCATCGTTTAGATATAAGTCTTACTACTTATCCAGTATAAAAACGGTCAGTACGGTCGCTTCGTAACTGGAAGTACCTACTGAACCCAGTGGGTGTGTGTGTTATCTCCATTCGCGCGCGCGAATTTGTGGTTTGTGTTATGTGTGTAGAGAACATCGTACATATTGAATCCACACTTTTTTGAAATCATGTACTTATACAATAAATTCATCATGAGGTGATATAGCCAATAGTGTGTATATTCGCACATTCTTAGTTCAAATATTTACGCAAATATCTACTTGAAAACTTTAATATACCGAAATACGCTGCAAAACTTCGAACTTATTATTATTAGTATCTATTAGAGTATTAGAGTACACATAGAACTAAAACTGAATGTTGTGTACTTTCCCAGTCTTACTACCGAGGACTACGGCGACGCTGAGATGCCAAGACAGTTATCGGCGAAAAAGCGACCGGAAAAGTACTACATTCATAATATGTAATGAGATTGGGAATTAAGATTCAGAATCTATATGATGTGTTGCTAGTTTGATCACAAATAAATATTTATCTTAACAATAATAGGATAAACTCCTATAACTCCTAAACTACTCTCTCGGTGTAGATTGTTCTTAGAGTAAAAGTAACACTATGCTTGTCGAGATCAATAGACAAAAGTATTATGAACACGATTGGCGTTACGCTAAATTATCTCAAAATAGATATTACAATACCAACATCGAATGGTGAAACAAAAGTTATGGTTGTGGTAGTAAAACTATGAATAATATACATCACTTTCATTATCATTCTTGTGAGAGAAAGCAAAAAATGGAATACTATTTATTTATTTATTGTACATGCAAATATCTGTTTACTATTCATAAGTATTATCCTGTGTACTTACAATTATATAGTACTATATGTACAAAATAATTTACAAATACGTATGGATATGTAAGCGCGCAAAATTTTAAAATTGTTGCGAGAGTTTACTACCTATGATTCTCAAGTGTCCATTACCTTTAAGAGGCGGACTGCATACAATTAAATTACATATTGCTCTTCGGCCCAATTATATATTCTGAAGAGAACCAAGATAATGGATTGTGGTGTACGCAATGACGATTCTAATTTTAGTCACGTTCTCAATGGTAAATTTGGTTCTTCCGCAGTGCCCGCTACTCTTCCACTTGCTCTAGACTGATAGTCACCTTTGAGCAGTTGTCTGACATGTTGTATCTCAAATGTCGCTTTACAGAGATCATCTAAACGTTACAAAGCTAAAGCATCCTGCACTTCAAAACTGCAAACAAACACTTTTACAAAATCTGCCGCTTTGTGAAGATTTGCAATATCTGTAGTCTCCGGTGATGTTCTGATCACGACGTTTCTGCTTTTTAAATTGAAACGCACTTGTAACTTCAGGTACTTACCAATAGGTGTGAATATCTTCATCGAATTTTCTTTCAGAAGTGCATATTTATGTGCCAATGGTATCTCTGTAAGAATTATAAAAGTTTAAAAAATGGTTTTTTAATTCCACATATTTGTAATATAAATATTACGTAAAATATGTTACGTTATCTCTTTAAGTCTTTGTTCTGTGTAAGTATATATTATATATCGTAAATCTTAAGTTTTTATAAAAAGCATATACATACATATGCACAAAATAGTTGGACAATTTTATCACAGTGATTAAGATAATTGATGTTATAAGTAAGTAACTTATATTTACTATTAAACTATTTATTTGCACTCATATTAGTAAGCTTAGTTTTATATATATTAAACTATTTTTTTAGTAAAAATACTATACAGTTAATAACTAGTTTCATATTAAAGTGATGCCTCTGTCAGAAATGTGGAACTAGTCTTAATCTTCGGACCATACGTAAAAAAGTATTGTTTTTAAGTATCTTTGGAATTCTATTTAACGACATTGCACTTTTACATTCAAGCGCACAGTCATTCCAATACCTACCAGCAGTACAAATATAGCGCAAAATTAACATTTCACTTTCACATTCAAAAATCATTAGTATATTTTGTTAGCAACTTAAAAATAATTTTTTTTTGTTTGTATTCTTTATCAAATGTCAGAAATGTAGTAAACATGAAATTTTTAGAGAGCACGAACATCTTCGATGTTAAAAAGAAGTTCAAACTTTTTAAGAAGCGCTTTTTCGCTCGAGTGACGGTTGACATTTGTTTATTATTCGTCAACGCAAGCAAACAACCGTTTGCAACTTCGCACAAATAGTGCTACTAATGGTAGAAACGCAGTAGATTGTCAATGTTCAGGGAGCATGAACATTTTCGTTGGTAAAAAGACTTTCAAACTTTTTAAGATGCTCTATTTTGCTCGAATGACGAAAGATATTTGTTTATTATTTGTCAATGCAAAGGAACAGGTGGCTGAAAATTTGCACAAATTTTCTTTGTAATGGTAGAAATGCAGTAAACATGTAAGTTTTAGGGAGCACGAACACCTTCAATGTTAAAAAAAAGTTCAAACTTTTTGAGAAGCGCTATTCCGCTCGAGTGACGATAGACATTTGTTTATTATTCGTCAATGCAAATGTATACTTGGCTGAAAAGTTGCACAAATATTCTTTGGAATGTCAGTACCACGGTGGATATGCATTTTGTAGAAAGCGTGAACGTTTTTATCGAATAATATATGTGAAACCATAGATATTCTATTTATTTTTGTGGTTTATAATACAAGAAATATTCAAATAATTTATTTTTTTTTTAAATATATAATTAATATGTTACGAGACTACAATAATGCCTACATGCGCAAGAAAAACAGGTTTAGTTGGTTAGAGTTCCGGAAAAATTAGGGTTTTTAAAATCGGCCGCTGCGTCCCTGCATTTCGGCGGTTCCGGGCTAAGTCTCCGAGCCACCTTCAGCTTCATGTTGAGCACGTAGGTTGCTGTTTTCTTTCTAATTTTGATAATATATCGTGTATAAACGAAACATGGCTGGATATTTTCGTAAATATGGTGAACATATTGTGGTTACACCGAATGACCGCTACTTCTTTTATCAAGCCTAGAGAGGAAGTAACAACACCCCGAAGATACCAAAAACCATCACTAAAGAAGACTACCCCATTGCCGCTGTCACCGTCACACACGAAGGAACCTGAAATATTTATACAATGGTTACACCAGCCACACAATAGCAATCGTAGCTTTTCTGTTTTTTGTTTTCACTGACCGTTTGTGTATGTCGCACAGAACTTGTCATGTGAACTAATATACTGTCCTGTGTCAGCATTTTGCGCCGCAGAAATGCATTGATTGATCGAACCATACGACATCTCTAGCGTTTGCAACATCCCGCTGGAGGTACTAGTTGCCGACGGCCTATCAAATGCCGGCAACTTTACTGCACTGTTTTGTTTCAGTACGGGCAAAGCATGAACCAAATCGATACATATAGGAATTAGATAAGCCGACTTTTCGAACGGTCTGTCAACCTGTAATATCGCGATCTCCGCTCCTACACTTCCTCTCGAATCTAAGTAATTGCATGTAAAGTAAATATTTGAAACCTGCAAAAAAACCATTTGACTATTTAGAACTGAGCGCGTATAGATACGCATATGTTACATGTACATTATAAAACCTGTCTTTTTTGAACGATGGTTTCGTTGTGAGACAAGTCGAAATGTCTGTAAAGATTTCCTGTCATTATGTGAATCTTGGTAGGATCAATTGGTCGTTTCTCTAGCTTACTGTACACACAATGGGCTGCTGTTATTAAAAGATTCTCTTTAATGATGGATGCTCCACAAATATATGTCTTCGATTCACCGCGATATACCGAAGCGTGCCATGGAAAATCCGCGATATTAGACCGATAACTGTTCCAGATAGACAAAATACTTTTGGCAGGAAGTTTGCCGCATGCTGGAACAAATATCTTCTTTCGAGACTTTGTCTTGTTCCAATGAAATAAAAAAAAAAGCGTCAATCATTAGAGATAATTCACAATATTAATCGTAACTATCGCGCGTCACATCGCCAATAATTCTGCAATTGAGGAATAAGAACAAACGCTTTTGAGTATGTCGAAAAAAAGTGTGAACAACTTCTATTAAACTTCAATTATACTTTGTATGATGCTGTATACCAAATTTGTATATGTAAATGTAGATAAACATATATATATATACATATAACTTATAAGTCATATAACGTTGAATAAAAAATAAATACATAATTCTTGTTTCACAATAGTATGTTAGTAAAGGTTTCAGTATAAAGAAGTACTTTGAGGTACGTATCGCAAAATTTTAATTACGCAAAGAAAAAAAATGTAAATTATCTCAATATGTTTGAAAAAGTAACTGGGTGTCAAATCGTCACCAAATTTTCCTTTTATTGCGATTATAAACTATACAAAGAAAGATACACACATATAACAGTCATATATCATTTCACATTTTTAAGACCAAACAATGCTTTTCTCTCACCATATGATCTTGATAATCTAATGTATTTGTAGATAAATTTCCACCATTTGTGTTTCTAATAATTTTGTGCGCATTCTAATTCAGCTGTATTCTCAGCTTACAAAACCGGATCTGATGTATTGAAGGAAATAGGAAAAGATGAATTAGTGGAAAACGATGTCAGAGATGTTATGGATGAAATCAATGAGGTGAATAAGATTGCACGTTGCGCATTTTATGTACTTATAACATCAAGAGAGAAACACTATCTTTTTCGTTAATTATAGGTTTTACTAGAGAACAAAGAGAGAGAGTCGATTTTATCGGAGACACTGATCAATAGCGAGTCTGATGCTGAATTAGAAAACGAATTAGCGGAACTGTTGAAGGATGATGGCGAAAAAGCCTTTTCAACAGGCGACGAATCAGAATTTGAAAACTTGGAGCACCGATTGAAGGACTTGTATATGGATGGTAAAAATATCTTCAGAAAAGATTTATTTATTGTTATACGATTATATTTAATATAAACTAATCAAGAATGTTATTTATCGGTTTAGTTTCTTCCAACACAAATGTAGCTGTGCCATCTCGTAAAGACAAGTCGTTAAAAAAGGTGGAATGTTTGTGAGTTGCAACAACATATTTCGGTAATATACATTATATGTATATTAATGATAACCTCTGTCTAAGCATATGGGTTGTTGTCTTCTATCTACACTTAATATTACATTGTGTATAAACGAAACGTGGCTGGATACTCTTGTAAATATAGTATACAAATTGTTGTCACAACGAACGACCACTCCATCTACTATAGAACCGAGAGAAGAGCTAACAACACCTTGAAGATACCACAAATCATTTATAGGAAAGACTAATCCACTGCCGCTGTCACCGTCACAGGNNGAGGAACCTGAAATATTTGTATAATTCGTATTTATAAAACTGTTATACAATATCAGTCATGTTTTTACTCTCTTTTTTGTTTTTACTGACCGTTCGTGTAACCCGCACAAAACTTGTCATTTGGAATAACATATTGTACCGTATCGGCATTTTGCGCCGCAGACCTGCACTCGTCGATCGAAACATATGGCACCTCCAGCGCCTGCAAGATCGCACTAGAGTTACTAGTTGGTGATGTCCTACCGAAACCCGGAACCTTTCCTNTATCGCCTTGCTTTATCACGGGCAAGTCATTGAACAGATCGATGCATACAGGAACCAAATAAGCTGACAATTCGAACGGCCTGTCAAGCTCTAATATTGCGATGTCCGATCCGTAATTTCCTCTTGATCCTATGTAAAAGCACATGTAAATATTTTTCACCTGCAAAAAAAAACATTTGAACATTTAGAACTGAGAACGTATTAGCATGTTACATGTACATGTTAAANAAACCTTTCTCTTTTGAACGATGGTTTCGTCGTGAGGAAAGTCAAAATCTCTGTAACGGTTTCCTGCCATTATGTTAATCTCGGTAGGATTAATTTGTCGTTTATCCTGCTCACTGTACACACAATGAGCTGCTGTTATTAAAAGATTCTCCTTGATGATAGTTGCTCCGCAAGAGTACGTTTTTGATGAACCACGGTATAAAGAAGCATGCCATGGAAAATCCGTAATATTAGGCTGAAAATCGCCGACAATAAGCGGTGTGTTGATGGCAGGCTGTCTGCCGCACGCTACAACAAATATTTTCATTGGAGAATTTGTCTTGTTGCAATGAGATGGAGAAAAACCGTCAAACAGTAGAAATATTTCATAATACCAATCATAAGTATTTTGCGCGTCATCGCGAGTACCTTTACGAAAAACGGAATGGAAAAGAGTGAGTTCAAATAGTTGAAAAAAACGTTGTACGAACACAAATTTTACTATACTCTATGTTAAATTACTTGAAATAAGTTGTATACCTTTTTAAAACTGAAAAAATCATACGTATAAATTTGTACAAAACGTAGCTAAAGAGTAAATAAGTAAAAAAAAATCATGTTCCTATTATTTCAGTATAGCTCATTAAAAAAATTAATTCTGCATCTGAATGAAAATGTTTACTTATCTAATAAAAAAACTGTGTGAATTATCTCAATTTATACGTACATAACAACTTAGTGCCGAATCGATACCGCATTTTTCGTATAGCTCGATTACAAAGTAGGAAGATAAATACATGTAAACAAATATGCTATATATATATAGTACTTCATATTTTATGATTACATTCAAGATTTTTCGGTTTTTAATGGTAGTATTCTTATATCTATTACGGATACTTAAGATCTTTGCCAGTCGTGTTTATATTGGGCGCCAGCTACGTACACAGGCAACATTGTGTAACACAGTGTCCACTAGTATGAGTAAAATACTCTGATACGCTCTTTCTCACACTAGTGGACACTGTGTTGCACAGTTTTGCCTGTGTACGTAGCTGGCGCCCAATATAAACACGACTGGCGAAGATCTTAAGTATATGTACCCACTATTTCGTTGACCGAACACTCGACAAGCGTAACGTTAGTTGTATCTGAAAAGGTCTTGATCGACAGCTTAGTACCGTAACAAAACTATTTATTTTTATCGAACCTGCAATACATTGTAAAGGTTCTGGATCCCAGTTCCCAGCTTCGTTACATATCACGAATGTACTTTGTAGATCGCTTTCTCGCCGATAACTGTTCTTGCATCTCAGCGTTGCTCTGGTCCCTGGTAAAACTGGAGATTCACACGGCGCCCACTTTCCGTTATACGTGCANGTAGCTTCAGTGGACACTGAGCTCAAAGCTTTGCAGCGTATTTCTACACCAAAAGACATTTTTTAGTGTGATTGTTTGATCAAGTTTTTATCGCAACAGAAATGATTGCAAGTTTGTACTTTCAAATATTTGTTTCGTGTTTCTTCCACTCATCAAAACTACAAATAAAATTATTATTTCATTACCTGTGCATTCTGGTATAGTAGTCCAATGTCCTACAAAATTACAGATTATATTGGGAGGACCGTTAACTTTATATCCTTCATTACAAGAATAGATAAGTTGAGAAGCTGTTGGAAGTTCTGTTCCTTCTGGAACAACGCAANCCTGTCCACTACCAGAACACAGTTTCCTATGCAACATCCAGCGTCCGTTTTGTGGTTGTGGAGGCGCTATGCAATTTGTTGAACTGTATATTAGCGGTAATTGCGTAGTTTGTCTAGTTGGTGGATGTCTAGTTGGTGGTGATTGGTGTGTGATTGGTGTGGGGAACGGTTGAGGCGTCTGCGACCAGATTGATCCGCACAATTGTGGATCTTCATCCGAACTGTCGGCGCAATCGGCCACTCCGTTACATCGTCGATCACGATCGATACAAGCGCCATAAGCGCAACGGAATGCCATACACCTGCAAATAAGTTGTCAGTTGTAAATCATTTACTTTTATTAACTCAACTTGAATTTCAAACATTTACTAAAAATAAATTGAAATTGCATCCTTACGGTAACGATCTGCACAACACGGGCGTTTCGTCGGAGCCATCCGCGCAATTCCGGATTCCGTCGCACGCTTCGATTTCGGGAATACATTGTCCGTTGTCGCATCTGAACTGAAAGGATTTACATGGCGAGAGATTGTCCGATCCATTGACGATATCCGTAGTGTTGCATTGAGGAAGCGTTTCGTCGCTATTGTCAATGCAGTCTTGAACACCGTTGCAGATCAAGTTTCCGTCTATGCACGCACCGTAGTTACAACGGAATGCGAAAGAAGGACACAAAATGTCCGATTTTGTACATTCGCTCTGCGTTTCGTCGGACGCATCTTTACAGTTCGCTTTGCCGTCGCACAACAAATCGCCCGCTATACACTCTCCGCTGTGGCATCGAAAACTTTCCAAACTGTTTCGTAAAATTAGAGTAATAATAGAAACTTGACATATTTTGTATTGCGATTTATAGTGCAACACACATACACACATGCGAAACAAAAAAAATACTTACTCACACTTGGTAATTTCTGCATACGTAGAAACAATACAAACTGCTGCAAAAAATCCAAGCATTATCTTAGGTTACTATACAAATCAAATCATTTTGTTGGTTTTGCATTTTTTTACGTCAATGTTACAAAAGAAACAGTAGTTTTTTTGTTTGCGTACGTTTTATTTGACGAACACAAACAACGTTATCACAAACAAAACTCAATCGATTATAAAAGAAATTATTAATTATAACAGATTTTGATCGCAAGAGCAACAAGCAATAAAGAAATCTTTAATAATAATGATATAAAAACGAGCTTGGCATGCACATGAAAATACGAGCGTTGTAATATGCGTGTAATATTACTTTATTGAGTATCACTTAATACGTAAACAAGATAAATTCTTTGCTTCAGTTCAAGTCCAATCAAATTATAGTTTTTGAAACTATGATAGTTATTCCTCAAAAGAAAAAAATATGCGCGGTTATGTGTGTACTAACAACAAGAAGTTAAAAGCAGTTCGAGATGTACATTTTATAATTATTTCGTAACCATGTATATATTACATGCTACGATCTTTTTATCTACTTTTTTTTTAACCGAGATAAATTAAAGATACTTCATGTTCAACAAACACGAATTAACACATCATTGACGTTACTGATAAATAACTTCATTTTCTTAGTAAACACTTATTAGTTTCACATTTTGTTTTTATACACCCACATATGTATTGATAAACAAATATCATGTAAAACAATCTTTGAGAATAAAACTTTTGTAATCAATAATTCTTTTGAAGAAAGCCATTGCACAGTTTTGCACTTCTACTATAAAGAGAATCTTATTTGGTGCACACATTCGTCCATATTAATTATGCAATATCTGACAATTGCGATATACTGTATAATACCGTAAATAAAAGCGATGTGTGTTACACTTCTCATCATAATAATGGAAAGCAGTCTGGTTACAATGTCAATCAATATCTCACTGTTTATCGTTTAGATATGTCTTACTACTTATATAAAAACGGTCTGTACGGTCGCTTCGTAACTGGAATTTTCCAATAAACCTAGTGTGTGTGTGTGTATGGTATCTGTATTCGCGCGCGCGTTTGTGTTTTGTGTTATGTGTGTAGAGAAAATCGTACATATTCCCAGTAAACAATTTGATCGCAATTTGCTGGCAAATTATCAGCAATTTTAAACAAAACTACTCAGCAAATTGGCATCAACTGTGTCCGCATTAGGCTTCGATTTTGTTGCCAAAGCTTGTCGACAAAAAGTAACATCAAATTGCTATCAAAAACCGAGCAAAGCTTGATACATATTGAAACAGGGTTGGGAAATAATGCGTTACTTGTAACGACGTTACCGTTACAGTTACTTTTTTTTTGGTAACGACTCCGTAACGACGTTACTTTTTTTTATTTGTAACGAAAGCAGTAACAACGTTACATTTCTTCGGTAACGAGTAACAAAATCAGGCGTTACTTTATCGTTACTTTCAAATTTACAATATTTTTCTTACATAACGGCGCCTGCAGAAAAACACTTCAATGCGTTATGCGCAATGCCAGTCAACATTATACTTTTGTAGAAAAGTAGCATATTGATTGGCTATCAAGTCGGTTCTAGCTTCGCGTAACACGTCCTGTCTACAGACGCCCATAAAACAGACGCTAATCGCAGATAACATTGAATTCCAAGAAAAATTACAGATTGTTTGATTCTTTGTCTAGATCTTCATCAGTGTACAAACAAAACTAATTAAAATTAAAAATTATTGTTGTAAGATGATTGCGCACTTACAATGTGAAGCATTAAATATTTAATTATTTCTGTTGTACATTAATAAAGATTCAAACAAAGAGATCGAAATTTTTCGTCTGTAATTTTTCTTGAAATTTAATAAAAAGCACATACACGAACATTTTGTGGTTTTGCTCGCATCTATCAAAATATGTCGGTTCATCATCTCACGAGTTTATTCAATTAGTATTTAATACATTTCAATATTTAATACATTTTGTTCATACAGTTTGATAATTAAAAAGTAATATTGTAATTTAGTTTTTCATGATTTGATATTTAACTTTAGATTTGATGTTACGTTTGAGAAAAAGGAATTAATAGTTGCTTACATCCAAAATTCAAATTGAATTGGATAACAGGAGAAAAACGGAAACTTGCAGAAAGCTATTTAGAAAACGTGTTGGGATTCAATCAAACAAAAATTCTCCAAAGAGTGATCTAAATTCCGATGAAAACGATATCTTTGTTGTTTTCCGTCAACAAACAACACGAGATGAATCTACACAAGAAGAGTTGCATAGATTTTTTAAATCCAAAACATTAATTGTTGAAGCGTTACAAGATTATCCAAAACTTAAACAACTCTTTATCGAATATAATATTGCATTTCCCAGCAGGGATCGGCAAAAAACTAAGAATAAATTAATATTACTTAATTATTTAATTAATTGTTTATCAGAAAAAAATATTTTTTGATTAATCAGTAATCGAAATAAAAAATTAATTTATTGCTTGATTAACCAATACTCAAAAAGAAAAGTTATTTAATTACTGTACTAATCAGTAATCAAAATACAAACTTTTTGGTTATTTAAATAATGAGTAATTTTAACAAATTATTTTTACTGTTTCTTGATTAACAGTAATCACAATAGAAAATTGTTTAATTTTATGTAATCAATACTTATACTGAAAAATGAGTAATTACTACTGGGAAGTTCTCAGCACGGTTGGGCACGTATTATACGTGAGGTATTTTACATTGTATTATACTTGGTATTGTACAGTATAATACATCGCTTAATTTTATACATATTATACTTCGTGTGGCGCCATCTCTACANCATGTGTATANTAAATNTTTAAGTCCAACATCCATGATCCATGTTGCTAGAAATCGGTCCGAGATTTTGGTTCGAAAAATGTATAGCCAATCAACTTGCAGTTTTTAAGCGGAAAACAGCAATTTTATTGACTACGTTAGTCAATTGTGATAGAATTTTGATGGTTAAAGAAACATCATTTCAAAACTGCAAGCAAATTGTAACTTTTGTTAAAGTTATCCAAGGAAAGACCTTCTATTTAAGGAGATGGGATATCTTGTGCAATTTAGAAGAAATAATTAATGAAGCACTACATATAATTAAAACTAAATACTCTGTCATGATTTATTCTGTAATCACAGATCAAGATTANCATACACTAAAAACTAGTGAACAAAATAATTTGTGGTTTTTAAATTGCAACTTATTCTTTGCATTATCATTAAAAAAAGTATTATTAAATGAAAATTTTGTAGATAAAGTTCGTTATCTGNTTGTTGAATTCTTAGATTTGAAAGAAGATTTATTGAAACGTGATACAGCAACAATTATATTATCGAATACTACCTCTTGTGATAATTTGCATGATATGTATGCATCTTGTAAAAAAAATTTTGCAGCTATGAGACAAATTGTCGGCGAAAACGTATATAAATTGAAAAGAACTGTTGTCAGTATACTTTTCGACAAAACATTCGAGCAAGAATTACACGATTCTTTGGACTTGTATGGATCAATACGTTCAATTATAGAGAAATGTGAAAATTCATGTACAACATTTGCAGATATTGTTGAAGATTGGTTGACTTTAGAAACATTAAACAACAACCTCACTTATCGAATTAAGGCTAGTAATAATAAAATAATCACTCCAATTGCATTGGCAGAAAACTTTTGTCATCCAAATTATCAAGGAATTTTATGTGTAATGGCCCTTACAGGATAAAAAAATTTTTGAATTTCTAGTACTTTTCTATTCTAGGCCAATCAACAAGCTTAAAAACTTTGTTGACAAATGTAATTTGCATTTCTACAAACATAATAGTATACTTCGATAAATATTATACGTTTTATACGTATTTTATACGTTTTTTACGTATTTTACCGTAAAAAACTGTAAAATGTAAAAAACTATAGATAATGCTCGAATAACCCAACCCTGGTTCTCAGTAGTGCAGCCGTTGAACGATTATTCGGCATCGGAGGATTAGTACTAACACCACAAAGAAGTCGTTTATATGATGATATGATGAAACATCAACTTTTATTAAAAATAAACAAACTGTATTTTTAAAAATATCTTTCAAAAGAGATATCTTTAAGAACTTTTTCGTGATAAAATATCTTTAAAAGGGTGTCTCTAAATAAAAATCTTATCTACCTTTACATTATTCATTTACAGGACATACACATATATCTTATTCTGAGGAAAGAAAGACATCTGTTCATTTCAATTAAAACTCCGAAAATGGTCATTTTTATCCTAAATGTGTGTTATTACACTTGTATAAATTATCTAAAATTTACTTAAAAATTATTTGTATTTAACATTTGTGCCTACTCTCTTTTCTGTCTTATTAATAAGTACTAAGATTATTTATATCACATATGTCATATTTCATTGTTTTTATTGTTAAGTTTTATTGTTAAGTTTACATTTATGATAAAATGAAATTCTCAAATGTATCTAAAATTTTTTAATATATTTTAATGTTAAAAATATATATCTTTATGTATTTTTAAAATTATAAAACTATAAATATGCTTTATACAAGTTTAAATTTATTAATAAAATTCATTTTTTTCTACTGTTATTCTACATGTAAAAAAAAGTCAAATGATCTTTTATGGAATCAAGTTTTAGTAACGGAACGTAACGATTCTATACTCGTTACTTCTAAGAAACGGTAATGCGTTACTTTTTACAATCGGTAACGAGTAACGGTAACGAGTTACTTTTTTCAATGCATAACGAGTAACGGTAACGCGTTACTTTTTAGAAGTAACTGTCCCAACCCTGTATTGAAACATAGTTTGGTCTGAGACCAAATTGACGCCAACTATGAAGCAAGATCTGCGCAACACGTCACATCGTTATTTGGTTTTTGCAACCAAGTTGCTTTTATGTTTTGTCACCAAGCTTGAATAAATTTTTAGTAGCAACCCAGATAACCAAATCTGTCAAAACATATTTTGCCAAATGCTTGTTACAAATTTCGTTAGCAGAAAGACATCAAATATGATGCAGAGTTTGTTTTATATGGCAATGTTGCAAAAATGCTAGCAAAAATAAAGCATATATATGAATATACTCAAAATTGTTGGACACTTTTATCACAGTCATTGAGATAATTGATGTTATAATTAAGTGACTAATATTTACTATTGTACTGTATTTATTACTCATATTAGTAAGCTAGGTTTTATATATAGTAAAATATTGTTCATTAAAAATTTATTGTTTTATTAAAAATACTATACAGTTAATAATTACTTTCATATTAAAGTGAAGAAGTGCTCTGTCAGAAATGTGAAACTACTCTTAATCTTCGTTACATAAGTAAAAACTTATTGCTTTTAAGTAGTTTTAGATATTCCATTTAACGACATTTCACTTTCACATTTAAGCGTACAGTCACTTCCAATACCTAACAGCAGTACAAATATAGCACAAAATTAACATTTCATTTTCACATTCGAAAACCACTAGTATATTTTGTTAGCAACTTAAAAATACTTTTTTTTTTGTATTCTTTATCATGTAAAATCTCCAGTTGAGCACGTAGGTTGCTGTTTTCTTTCTAATTTTGATAATATATCATGTATAAACGAAACATGGCTAGATATTTGTGTAAATATGGTAAACATATTGTGGTTGCAGCGAATGACCGCTACTTCTTTTATCAAGCCTAGTGAGGAAGTAACAACACCCCGAAGATACCACAAACCATCACTAAAAACAACTACCCCATTACCGCTGTCACCGTCACACACGAAGGAACCTGAAATATTTGTACAAGTTGTATTTATACAATGGTTACACTATCCATACAATATCAGTCCTAACTTTTCTCTGTTTTATGTTTTCACTGACCGTTCGTGTATCTCGCACAGAACTTGTCATGTGAACGAAGATACTGTTCTATGTCAGCACTTTGCGCCGCAGATGTGCATTGATCGATAGAACTATACGACACCTCCAGCGCCTGCAACATCCCGCTGGAGGTACTAGTTGCGGACGGCCTATCAAATGCCGGCAACTTTATTGTACTGTTTTGTTTCAGTACGGGCAAGGCATTAAACAAATCGATGCATATAGGAATTAGATACGCCGACTTTTCGAACGGTCTGTCAACCTGTAATATCGCGATCTCCGCTCCGACACTTCCTCTCGAATCTATGTAATTGCACGTAAAGTAAATATTGGAAACCTGCAAAAAAACCATTTGACTATTTAGAACCGAGCGCGTATAGATACGCATATGTTACGTGTACATTATAAAACCTGTCTTTTCTGAACGATGGTTTCGTTGTGAGACAAGTCGAAATGTCTGTAAATATTTCCTGTCATTATGTGAATCTTGGTAGGATCAATTGGTCGTTTATCTCGCTCACTGTACACACAATGGGCAGCTGTTATTAAAAGATTCTCTTTGATGATGGATGCTCCGCAAATATATGTCTTCGATTCACCGCGGTACAACGAAGCGTGCCATGGAAAATCCGCGATATTAGACCGGTAACCGTTCAAGAAAGACGAAATATTTTTGGCAGGAAGCGTGCCGCACGCTGTAACAAACATTTTCATTCGAGACTTTGTCTTGATCCAATAAAATAAGAAAAAAGCGTCAAACATTAAAAATAATTCACAGTAGTAATCGTAACTATCTCGCATCATATCGTAAATAATTCTGCAATTGAAGAATACGAACGATCGCTTTTGAGTATGTCACAATGAAGGTGAACAACTTCTATTACACTTCAATTATACTTTGCTTGATGCTGTATACCAACTTTGTATATGTAAATGTAGATAAACATACCCAGCAAACAATTTCTGTTTTTGACAATTTCGGCGCAGACCTTGGTAACAGAAATTGTTTGCAGAAATGCTACAATACGGAAACACCGCCAAAATTGTTAGCACACAGAAAGAAAAAACGCAACAACTCTGTTGACAAATACATGAG